TCTCTGGAAAGCAGCCTCAAGGTTTGGTGAAGGCAAGTCCTTGTCCTGAGCAGAGGGAAGCTGTGGCACTGGCACAGTGTGTGTCCACCACTAGTGGAGAGCTCATCTCAATGCTCTAGGAGCCATTCCCTTATTGCCTTGAAGCAGCATAGTCGTGTAACACAACAGGTGATCAGACATCAGCCCAGAGTGACACATGCAAGTACTTGATACACTCTTAACCATATCATAGAATTGTCTGTGGGAACATGTAGGCTCTCACTTTAATAACACTGCTTAATTGTTTCTTTGAATTTATGTAATTACCATCAAGATCCTTGTTACAAAAATGTAAAAGCAATATTGAATTTCAATAAACAAGCACACATTTACATGACAAGCAGAATCGATGCCAGGAACATTACAGTCCCAGCTTCAGCAGCAGCCAGGTCTCAAAAATCTCAGGAAATTTCATTCTGTTTTTTTTTTTTTTTTCCTTCATTATCAGAGAAGATGGAACCAGTCTGAGACACATCAGAAATATGTTGCCTTTAAAAAAGACAGATTTCCAATAGTGTTTTCAAAATGCCCCTTTCTCAAATGTACTGCATTTACTTACAGATTCACTGTCTGCGTGACATAAAAATTGGATTCAAGTGGCTTCCTGACCACAAACGAAAAATACACTGTTCCATGAACCTACTTCTGTTCATCAAAGCTGCTTGCAGCACTCAGCCGGGCTGGCGAAGGACTTTTTGGATGAGCCATCTGGTAAAACAAGAACAGGGTCAGATCTTGGAAAACGAACTTAGTACTAATTGCTGCTGAGATAAAATATAACGTGATTTTTAACTGACATTTCATAAAAGAAAACAGACACGGACAATCCTCAAGATGTTATTAACTCTCAGATTTTGTTCTCCAGGAAACTGGAGCTCTGATGTTGGAGATAGCACTAAACGCACAAGAACAGCTATCAAAAAAGCAACTTTTCTTCTTTGCATGGTCAAACAACCAAGGATTGGCAAGGGTATTTCCATCCTGCAGTTTCCTTACCATTAAAATGGGAATCAGTAGAACAAGCACCCTTATTTGTGGGTACTTGGCACTTCTGGATGAGAATTATGAAGAGATTACCTAATGTATACCAACAGCACTGCATCATAGGAAAAAAGGCAGTATGCAACTGTATGGATTTTAAGGCCAGCTCATCGTTACAGACACCACAACTTGCCTGAAATTTGCGCCGTAATGCCTGTGTCATTATTGGCGTCAACCCGGTCCCACACTCAATGTTTTCTTTGTTTAGTGGAGTGCCACCCGGACTTCTGAAAAGATTGGAAACAAAGGGAATGAGTTCTCTAGTTAAATTAGTTCTCTAATTTTATTTAGAAAACCAAAACGAGAATGGGACTTACCTTTGTATATTGACCTTCTTAAGATGTTTTCGAAGATCTAACTGATTTTTAGGTGGGGTACTACTGGAAAAAAGTGTTAAAATGAAACGTTTTCCACTGTGTAAATAGTGTTCATCATTGTTCTGAACAGAAAAATCTGTTCTGAACAGAAAAATCTAACAACAAAGAAAGGAAGAAAGTGTCTTACGTTAAGGAGTTTGTAATGTGAGCTGATGGCTTGGATTTAGATCTCAGACTAACGCTTTGTAAATCTGAGACTGTAATTAATGCCTTGCGTGTCTTCACTGGTGATCCTGCCTGAAGTTAGAAAAGAAATGTTACCACAGATAGACTTCAGAAGGCCTCGCTGATCCGAGATCTATTTAATATTGATATTCTGAGAGATTTCTATGCTTAGGGTTTTTATGCTTTTTTGAATCCTGAAGATTTTGATGTGTCTTGGACAAAGATAGGTTTATTTAAAGAAAAAAAAAACTTCTCCAAACAAGATTTTGGATAGGCAAAAGAAGGTGCGAAGTATACTGCTAACACAGACATAAAGCTACATGCCCTTAATGTAAAGTTAGACCTGTCCAGCACATCAGCTGACATTAGTCACTTGATTTCTTCATTTCAAATGCCCACATGCAGAATTAGAACGATTCCTTAAACCTGATCACTGAGTTTTTGCAAGAGAAGAATTAATTTACTGAAGAATTCTATGAAGTGCTAAGACAAGCACTGCAGGAAATACACCGATTCCAGTGCAGAGCTGCCCCCAATACACCATTTATCCACATGTCCTCTGGTTTACCTTGTCTGTTCTCAGGTTGCTCCCCGTCTTCTTTAGTTTTACATTCAGGAGATCTTTGAGAGTGATCTGCATTGGCACATCCTTTTTTTGTGACGGCGCCTGAAAATAAAAGGTGGTTGGAAGGGCAGTTAGGATCAGCAAGTGACCCATCCTTCACAATAACGTCTGTTCCTGATGAACTGGGTCCCAAGAACCCAGCCACGAGTGCAGAAACAGAAGAACCTTCTTACTCCCTACCTGAAGTGCTTTAGAGCCGTTGCCCCGTTTGAGGAGGAGAGGTGCTGGAGGCAGTTTTGGTGGGGGCAGCGGTGGTGGTGGTGGTGGTGGAGGTGGAGGAGGAGGGGGCGCAGACACAGGCTGCGGCTGTACTGCAGGAGGTGTGCACAGGGACGACAGCGGGCCCATCTGCGTTTGTGCGGGAGCACCCAGTGTTGTTTTATTGCACTTTTGACAAATAGAATTTTCTGAAGACGAAGTTACAACTCCATTCATCTGAAAACAATATAAATAAATAAGAGAATATTAAATTCACTGATAAAAGTAGGTAGAATTCAAGAAAAAGGAGCTTGTGGCTTCAGCTGATCCAGAGAGATACAGATGCCCTCTTAGGATGTTCACCAGAAAACCAATTCCCTTTAGCCATCAGGTAACTGCAGCTTAGTAATGCTGAATGTGAAGAAGAGGTGAAGCACTCCCCGGTGAGGAGGTCTTGATTTTCTCCTCACTGACCACAGATCCCTACACAAGCCAACATTACCCTGCCCCACAGGGATTGACACTGACCTGGAGCATTCCCTGTAGTCTGGAAAATTCGGTCTCCAACTTTTCCAGCTGCTCTCTGAATGCGTTTAGCTCCCTTAAGTAGATTTGTGATGGAAATATTGTCTCTTTAACCATCTTAAAACTCTGAGTATAAAAAGAAACAAATATTTTCAGTTATATTTCCAGATACAGAGGCCCAACTACTGATGAAAGTTCTGTCACAGGGTCTTCTCATTGAGGTCAACAGAAAGGCACTGCAGGAAGATACACTTTCACCAAACAGTTCCTTGGCAGGAACAACTTTCTCAAAAAAGCCTTTTAACTTCATCTAGGAATTCTAAGGTCTAGTTCACATTGGACCTGAAAAGTGAACACAGTCACCTCTGCTATTAAAGAAAGACTGCAACTCCTGACACTGCAAATCCTGCTGATGCTGCCATATACAAACTCCAATTTCACATACATTTTTAATGTTTATAGCAACCTTGGACATTTTCTCATAGTTACTCCTTCAACAATAAACACAATATATATTTAGATGTTTCAACAGACATAATTAAGTTTACAGCTTACTTTTCATATTTGACATATCTTGCATCTGAGTTCTAAGGCTGACCTCACACATTGTCAAAACCCAGAAAAGCAGAAAACTTACCTGCGCAACAGTGTTCTGGCACCAGCAATACCAGAACGACACCGTTGTTGTGAGAGGCTTTACCACGCTTCTTACACTGGGCAAGGCTAATGACCAGCGTGAGGATGGGTGGCTTGGGACAGGGGGTGGGTCCGGCGGAAGGTCACCTGCTGACCTGGGATAGAATAGTTCAGAATGAGGTCATAATTATACTTTTATTATAAATATTTTTAATTCCAGTCTTTGAAAAAGGTAACAGTGAGCAAGATAACAGTGAGTAAAGGATAAGTACTAGCAACAGCAGGTGTCAGTGTAGTAAACACGAGCACAGAGGCCAGGAGAGGCTAGAAAACGCTGAAAAGTGTTCCAGCACCAAATAGATCATAAAAAAAATAAGTATTTCGAATCTTAACTGCTTCTACACGTTAAAGCTAATGGCAGATGGAGCAGTAGGGGATACACGAGCTGACACAGCACCACAGCGCGCAGCCCAGGCTCTCAGCGGGCTCCAGACGCCGTTCTGTTACCTCAGCTCCGTGTATCAGCACAAGCAAAGAGGGGACGCAGAAATTAAGTTAAAAAAACACAGATTTAGCCAAAAACGGAGCTCCTTACAGCGGCGCAGCACAGCCCGAGCCGCGGGGCCCGGCGGCAGCTCCTTTCCCTGTCAGGCGCCGCTTCGCTCTGGCTCTGGCTTTCCGCCGACGCCTGCACTTGGCCATTCCTGTCAGAAACGGAGAGATTATGGGCAAAACGTGGAAAAAAAAACCATGAAATTTGACGTGGGGACGGTAAATTCGCCATATAAGGAGCGAAGGGCACAACACGACGGGGGCCATGGGGGGGACTCCCCCCCCAGTCCCGGTCTCCCCCGGCCCCCCCCGGCCGCCGCTCACCTCACGGCCGGCGCCACCGATTCAAACCGGGCCCCGCGCGGCGCGCAGCCAATGGGAGCGCCGCTCTCAGCCGTCCCCTCCCTTTCCCCCCCACGTAAGCCGCGCGCTGATTGGTCACTAGGAGGACGCGGGCTCCCTCCCCTCAGCTCGACGGGTGAGGTGAAGGGAGATGGGGCGGGGGGGGGGGAATCGCGGGCCTGGCGCTGCTCCGCTCTCGTCATTGGGTGGAAGGGTTTGAGGCTGACCAATCAGAGGAAAGATGGAGGTAGGACGGGCCAATGGGGTGGAAAGGAGGAGGGCAGGAGCACAGCCCTCTGCCAATAGAAGCTCAGCGCTCCCTACGCCAGCCAATCCCCGCCCGCCCCCACTCCACCCCCCCTCCGTCTCGAGGCGCTCTCTCCGCGAACCAATCCCCGCCCGCCGCTCCCCGCGGCGCCCAATCAGCACCCCCGTACCTCCGCCAGGGTTTACATCCCCTCCCGCCCAATAGCGACAACCCTCCCTCAGCGCCCAACCAATGGGAGGCCGGCTCCGACTGACAGCTGCCCAATGGCAACCCCCGTCTCTCCGCGGCCCGCGGCGCGGGGGGCGGGCATCTCCTCCGCCGCCGCCTGAGGAATGTCAACTATTCAACATGGAGACGGCGCTCGCCAGGCTCGAGACCATGGTGAGGCCGGGGCGGGCGGCGGCGGGGCCGGGGGGCGGCGGCCGAGCCCCGGAGCTGCCTCCTGAGGGGGAGAAGGGGGCCGCGGGCCTCGGTTTGTGAGGTGGGGAGGGGGGGGGGGGGGGGGCGCGGTCCTCGTAGCGGCCGGGTTGGGTTGGGCCGGGTCGGACCGTTCCATTCCGCTGCCCCCCCCCGGCCACGCGCGCGGAGGGAGGGGGGGCGTGGAGCGGCGCGCTGCTGGGCGAGTCCATTCCTCACAGCGCGGGGGGGGAAAGGAAAGGAGAAAGGAAGCGGGGGGGGGGGGGAACCACACACAGGACTCACACCTGGGCTGGCCCATTGTCCCCGCGGGGGGGGGGCGGGTTGGGATGGGCCATTCCATAACGTGGGGGGGGGGGGGGGAGGGGGGAGTGGTGGTTTCCCGCCCAGCGCTGAGGGGCTGAGGGGAGGCCGCGGGGCCCGGCCGGGAGCGGGACCGGCACCGGGGGAAGGGAGCGGGGGGGGGGGGGGGGAAGGAGCCGCCCGCAGCGCCTCGCCCGGCCGGGACCGGCATTGCCGGGCAGCCCGCCCTCAGCACCGGGCTGCCCGGGGGGCTGCGAGGGGCCCTGGCGGCTCTGGAGCCCCGGGGGACTCCGCGATGTTGCTGAATTGCGGGGCCTCAGTCCGCGCGTGAGGTAATTCTCCAAAACCCGGTGCTCCTTTGTGGTGATTTTTGTTTTTTTTTGTTGTTTTTTGAGACTTCCAGGAATCGTTGGAATTCCAAAAATGTCAAAGTTGTGTGGTTTCAAAGGGCTGTTAGGTGCGGTAATTGTCAAACCAGAAAGGGCCTCGGCAGGAGATGTGGGAAAAGACTATTCGCTGCAGAGACGGTCTAATTTCTACTTATGTGGTTGTTTTTTTGTTTGTTTTTGTTTTGCTTTTGTTTTCCTGCCTTCTGGCAACCTTGGTTTTAATTTAAGAATAAAAAATAAAATAAAAAAGGGTTTATCAGTACACACACCACTAAAGGAGAGGAAAAAAAAATCTAGGAAAATAGAAGGAGAACGCGATGGGGAACATTGCACATCAACACCATCCCTTAACCTGCTGTGTGCAAGGCTCTCACTGATACACAGAGCTGGTGTGCTGCTATCTGCTCACTTTAAACTTTTAGTTTACTTTTTAATGTTCTTCAGTCACTTTTCTCCAGCACATCCCTGAAAGCATCAGCAGCAGCTAAGTGAGGGTGGCCTGAAAAGAAAGAAGGGGCTGAGCATTGTCAGCAGAGGATTCAAACCCTTACCAAGTCCTCAGCTTAATTGCACTTTCAAACCACAATTTTATTGTGAAGTACCCATACTTTTTGAGGTTATTTTTGTTCTCCTGTAGTTACAGACCTGTGGTAATCATACCAAACACGTGCAGTGTTTGATTTCAGTGACACGCTGCACTCTTGTCAAAGCTCTGAAGTTGTTCCTGTGGCAGATTCAAAACCTCAGCCCTGCCCACAGTGTGTGCTTCAGCTCCCTGTGTCTTTTGTTAGTTGCTGCTGTTTTAAAGCCCAGTTTGAGTAATTTCATTTTTCCTTGTAACTTTTTTTTTTCTTTCTGTGTAATTCTGCTTAGAAACACCCAGGCTAGCTGTGTGTTTGTTGTTATTGTAGTAGGTTTTGGTTTTGTTCTTGTCGTTTGTTTGTTTTTCAGTGTTATGGTTTATTTCACTGTTTTAGTGAAAGCCGTGCTTTTAAAGTTGGACTACTAATTCCTCACTTTAGGACATGTAAATAATTAAAGAGGTATTTTGATTAGTTGCCCTTAAAGTTAATGGGGGTGTTTATCTATGGCAGTGGAAGGAGATGGTGATGTGTCACTGTCTGACGATCTACGTTACAAGTACACCAAAAGCATCTTGCACTGACGTGTGGAGACCTCAGTGGGGTCAATTATCTGCACAGATGGCTCATACAAACTTCCAGAGGTTTGGAGATTCTGGCTTGGTCTTTCCCCCTGTCCTGATTATCCAAAACCATCTGGAGAATCCATTTGAAACCCAACTGATTTTTAAATGTACCCCTTAGCCTGACATTTTTCTGTTCGAGTCTTCTGTTAAGTCCTTCCTGCAGAAGGTGGCGTCCCTGGCTGGATCTCTCCCCAGAACACTTGTATTTCCCCCAGAGGTTTTGACATGCATTTCCTGAAAAGTTTCATTTTAGTCTCATGGACCAAGGAATAAATTCTTGTGTAGGAGCTTAAAAACGATGTGAATGAAAATGCCAGGTAGTCTTCAGTTCTCTGAGGGTAGTGCTCAAAGTACAGTAATAAGAAGTGTTGAATGACCCACAACATCTATAAGACGAGCTTCATTAGGAGACAGATTGTAAAGCTGTCTCGTTAGCAATGCTTTCCAGTATGCAATTCAGTGGTGTGCCGCGGAAGAAACTTGAGTTTGGTGGACATTCCTTTAGTAAAACTTGATACCAAATGGATAAAGGGGCAGATGCTGTGAGAGTGCTTCAGTCAGAGCGACTTAGTTAATTCCTGTGACTGTATTTCTGTTGCAATGGACTTCCTCTTTTCTCTGAGCGGTGTCTGTCCAGTGCCCTTTTTATGTTGTACTACTAGTGATCGTACACAAAGCAGTGCAATGTTAAAAGGGCATTGGCCAGCGATGCTATCGGCGTTACTCACCGGGTTACGGAGCCGCAAGTCCTAAGTCGCTGTTATGTCTGAGACCAAAGGTGCTTTGAAAAACAACTTCAAAGTGAGATTGTAAACTTTTTTATTTTTATTTTACTCACTGTCTCCTAGTTGTTTGCCAAGGATAAATGTTAAGTGGTATTTTGTTGAGGGATTTTTGAAACAGCAAAGATCCCATGGCTTGCTGCAGCTGAGCAAACCAAGCTACCAGGACGACTATGAGGAGTTCCCATGACAGTGTTCCCACATCACCCAATTGAGGAATTTAGAAAAATATTGTTGCCAGCAGCTGGCTTCAAGGATGGGATTTACGTGACTGCTAATAACAAAGGGGTTGTTTTCTTGCAGGTGGGGTTGTTTTCTTGCAGTTGTTTGTCTGAGTGCTTTTGGCCAATAATCTTGTGTGAGACACTATCTGCCCCTGTTAAGTTTGCTATAAAAGTCAGGCTGTTCGGGTAATAAAGGGGAGCATGATCTGAACATACTACTGTCTGTCGTGTTTTCGGCCGTTCTTCCTGCAACAGTATTTAATGACAAATCCCATCAACTCTGTGTGTGTGTCCTTCGAAGTAAGTGCCCTGCAAAGAGGAAGGAACACTGTGTAGGATTCTTACAGCCTGCAGGGTTTTCTGCGGTAATGTCCTAAGTTAGCTCAGGTTGTTCTGAGTGCATCAGCCATCAGCCATCTCTCTCCTCCCCGTTCCTCTGTTCCTTGTGTTTTCTTATTAAGAACAGTAATGCTGTCAGACCCGCCCAGTCCTCAGCCTTTGTATATGAAGTTACTGGTTTTATTAAAAAGAGGAACAGCTTTATGGAGATGCATGAAGTACACCCCCAGTTCATGGTCCTCTAACAGGCACGAGGTAACCCCAGTGATAATTTATATCCACGGTGTTTGGAAATGAGGGTGTGTTCACGTGCAGTTTAAAGTGACCGAATAAACTCGTGTGTCCATAAAATGTTCTCTGTAACACAGTTTAAGAGCATCTGTCTGATAGAGGTTTACCATTTCCTCTTGCTATGAGACAAACCTAAAAAGACATAAACTTTGAAATTCAGTTGCTAGTTAAAAGAGCACCAAATAGTGCAAAAATGAATTTCTGATGGATCTGTTGAACATTTTGTTGGGTGTTTTTTTTTTTTTTTTTTTTTTTTCCTCTTCTGGTTAGTGGAATGACAGTGATTACGACCAATAATAATGTCTAGAAATGTGAAAGTCCTTGCATGTCTGTATTAGGACTGGGTGAATGTTGCCTTACCAAACGTCTGACCCACAGAAACTGCTGACATATTTTTTCCAATACGTATTTTGAATGTATTGATTACTTGTTTCGAATTCTTGCTGCTAACGAATGCTCTGACTTTATTGCACTACTGTACTTTACAGCTAGCAGTGCAATAGTATTGTCAAAGCATCTGAAAGCAGAGCATGCAGCAATGGCTTGAGAGTTGCCTTACAGTTTCTAACGCTTTCCACTAAGCCTATGAGTAAATTACAACTGTACATCACATAAAGTGCATTTTCTGTGTGACTGTTGTAGAGAATTCATACAAATGGTCCTGACCTATAACGCTAAGGTGAGATTCTTGCAGGTGCATGTTTCCTGAGATACAGCAAGAAATAAATAGTTATAAAATAATACTTTTTTTTTGGTCCTGAATCACAGTAGCAGCATAGTGTTAATGGCTCATTGTTGTCCTGGAAATCTCAAATTATCAGTGTTGAAATATCCATGAAGCTCCGCTCTTGGAATAATTTTAAAAGCCACCCATATTTGTTGTCTGTATTCCCAAGAGTTAGCAGTCAGAGGAAAGAGGTGGAGAAAAGCAGAAAACGATTGTTCTGGCATGCCTGTCCCTAGAAGTGAAAAACAAAAAATATTTGCTAATGGAGGAGCACAGGAATAGTTGATCCCTTAGGAAAAGTCTCTCGTGAACTCCTTAAAAAAAATGTAGTGTATTAACAAGCTTTATCCTTCCTGTTTTATCATGAGTGGTTACTAAAGGCTACCTCCAAAGCACACTGAAGTTTGTGGCTTTAGCTGTAAGCGCTGCTAGTTAATACTTTGGGGGTGCAGTTAACAAACAGCCTTATTTTGATCCTAAAAGTCGCAATGATTACTTCATTGCTAAGCTCAGCATAATTAGTGAAAGCTACTGTGAGCTATGTTGTAAGTATCTTGAACTTGCTTTCATCAGAGTCTCCTCCATGACTGTAAAATCGCCAAATGATTACATTGAGAAAATAATGAGTTTTTCTTGGTTTCTTTTTGTGAACTGGGAAAACTGCCTTTCTTTAGAGGAGAAGTCCTTAATAGGTATTAAAATCGCAGGCTAAAATTAATTAAGTAATAATGCTATCAGCAGACTGTTTTACAGGGCAATTAGATAACTCTCTGGTGGGTTATTTATCCTGAGGAAATAAATGTGATGTCATCAATTTTATTATCTATTATCTATTTATTATCTGCTCTGGCTTACTGGGGAACAATAAAATGTGTAATTGTTACTATAATAATCTGAGAGAATTCATTCCTCATATAATTAATAACAAAATCTCTGATACACTTTGCTCTTCAACACTTACTCATAGTTTCTGCTGGATAAACAGACGAGTATTATGGTTTAGCTAGGAGAATTCGTAATGTTTGAAAAGTACCTAGCCAAGGGAAAGCTTTATAAATTGATGGAATGTATATTAATGTCGGGGAAAAAATCAAACATCTTCTGCAACATGTGAAGATCTGTTGAGAAAAGATGCACTGTTCTTGTGTCTTGCTGTAACTTCGCTCTTTGGAGTACTGCTTACAAACTTGAGAGGTTTGGCACTGAAAGGGCACGTAATGCTGGAATGGGTGGGAACGCTGTCATGCGTTTGGGGAGCTGTAGGAACATGGGAGTAGCGGAAAGATATAAAGCAAATATGGTCTATTTTAGGTTAGATAAATATAAAGAGGCTACGATCAGTAGAAGTGTGTGTATATGCTTGCTTAAATGGCACACGAGAGGAAAATGCTCGTGTCCAGACTTACGTTTGTACCGGGTATGGCAAATGGGGTAATGTCTGCGGCTGAGAGCTTACATGTAAGGTATCGAAGTAATTCTGCAAAGTGGTTTCCTACTGCGTTGCTTTTTATTACCTGGATACTGTATAGCTCTTTGGATGACGGGTTTTAACTTATAAAATTACAGGATTAGAAGTCTCAAAGTTTATTGCTTTATACTTTTCAGGCTAGATGAGTGTCGGCGTAATTGGCAACCATCCTCTAATGGAATAGATTGGAGGAGCAGAGGAGGCATCTGTCTTCTGCTTTCCTGAAATACAGGAAAGGCAAATGGTTGGGGTTTGTCTGCATTTCTTTTTAAATATAATGTGGCTAATCCTAAATATTTTAGTTCCAGAAGGCAGAATCTGATCTGGATTATATTCAACACAGACTGGAGTTTGAAATAATGAAAAGTCTTCCTGATAATCTGTCAGCAGAGGTAGTATTTTCAAATTAAATTAATAACTTTTATTGCATTCTGCGTGAAGTTGGTAATAAATAGGTTTTATTCTTTAATATGGAAACGTGAATGTTCTTTTATTTGATGTTTTTTTATAATAATGTCTTTCTTGCATCATACACCAGGATAACTGACATAATATGAATTTAGTGCAGAAACTGTCAGAAAACCCTACATTCTTGGTATAGTGAAGTTCTCCCATGTTTCACTCTGAGAAATGAGAAGTGTTAACACCTAATTTTCACAGAGAGTATTCTATCTTGGCTATAACTCGTCCTCACTGGGAGACCAAAGATACACTTGCTAGTCAGCAGTGACTAAATACAGAGCTGGGAATGGATGAGAGAAAGATTAAAACAATAAATGGCAGTATGTAGAAGCCTTCATAAATAAGTCCTTGCCTCCATGTGTATTGTGACATAGTGGAAAAATAATCTTTTTATTTAGAAGTCCCTAATTTATTCCAAATCAGAAAAGCTATTAAAATTCACAAACATAATAATGTATTTATTATGGAACCACAGAGTTGTACTGGTTTATTAACACCACCTATCGTTTGTGCACATGAAAAACTAAATGTATGGGTGAAAGATACTCTCAGCTGCACTTTTCATTGTAAAGGGTTGTTTCACGTTATATTCTTGTTTTTCTGACTCCTATGCTTTTAAATCTTATGTGGCAGCATAAATTTTTTCTTCTTGAACAGTTTAAATGTACCTTTAATTTCCACATAGGAAAACCCGGTTACTCTCTTAGAAGAACTCTCGGTGGTGAAATCTCGTTATAAAACATTATGTATGCAGCTGGAAAAAGTTTCCTTAGAGCAGAAGGAATCCATGAACGGCATCCGTGCTGCCCTAGAGAACACAATGAAGATGGTTCAGACACTACAGCAGCACGCTGATCTGCAGGTAGCAGTCTCATTTCAGTAACTTGGCTCTCACGCCTGTAAATGCCCATGCATTTGTGTAACCTCTGTGTAGCTGTGAGTGGTTTCACTGGAAACTCTTAAATGTATAGGCTTGTAGAAAATAAGAAAACAGTTTACCAGAAGAAATGTTTGCAAGATCGAAGCTATTTTTGTAAATCACTAACCTGATTTATCACTTATCAGTTAAACTAGTGGTATTTAGTCTGAATTAAAGCTATGCTGTAAGTGGATAGTATGACGTTTGAATAGTTTCACAGCTGTGTCCCAGTCCTACGACGACTTCTTTTTAAAAGTAGTTACCTTAAAGAAATCAGAAAGACAAAACAATTTTTGAAAAGCTTTTAAGTGACGAATGTTTTTTTCACTGTCTAAAATGCGTAAGCTAAAAATACACTGTAGTGTATGGGTGACAATATAGTTAGCACAAAGAAATGTTTCCTCTCAGTATGATAATGCCTCTGAACTCCCCCCAGCATTTTTGTAAGTGGTCTTCAGACATCGCTGCATTACAATTTTGAAAAGGTTGTGAAAGCATTGCTTTTGTCCCCCTACAAATAAGGTGATTTAGATGAAAAATGTTAACTGATAATGTAGAGGCAGAGATAGGATTGGTGTGACTAAAGCATTCTCCTGGATCTGAGCTCTCCCATCAGCGTTCTGATGACAGTGCCCTGACATTGTGTTTAATCTGTCAACAGATCTAGACAAGGTAGTGGTAAGTCTCTATAGAGAAAACGTACCGTATAATGATTTAAAAGACAGTAATTATTATGTCACAGGAAGAAAAAATATTTTCTTTGTGTTCCAAGGATGCGATGCCAAGAATAATTTACATATAGGATTTTGTTACAGTGGAAGACTGTTGTGTTTCTAAAGTTACATTTAGACTTTTTAGCTAATGTTGTACTTGACTATTTCCTAAAAAAAAAATTGATTAAAATGTTATGGAGAAACTTAACTCTTCAAGTGAAATACTTCTTTATATGAAATAATTCATTTTATTTTCATTGAGCCATTTATACTACAGTGTTAAAGGAACATTGTGATTGGGTTTTCAGAAATACTAAGCTTGTCAACTTGCTTTCATTTAATGCGAAGTAGGAATTTACTGTTAGTTTGCATGTGAAAACAACTACACAAACACTGAGTTCATTTGTAAATATCATCACCCTAGGAACTGGAAGTATCAGAGTTCTTGGTATCTTTTTATTTTCTAGCGCTCACCTCTGTCAGAAGAAGAACAGACTGCAGCACAGCAGTTAACCTGTCAAACTGTTAAAGAAATGGAATCGCTAGTGGAAGAGGTAATTAGGCCACAGAGTGTCAGTATTCCAGAAACCATTAATCCTGAGTAGCTCAACTCAAGTCAGAAGGGCTGTTTCTGTACCTTAATATCTCTCAATTGAATGGAGTTTTTCAGAAGTGAGCTGAAGTTCCTCACAAATCTTTCCAGTTTTACTGTGTACTGATTAAGTTGATGATTTAATTTCCTGTGAAATCTTAAATAAAGTTTGGAATATGACCAGCAATAGTTTAAGTGTATTCTAACTGTAATGTGATAGAACATAAATCTAAATGAATACTTGTTAAAAAGTTGGATATTCTCCCAGAGCTTCTTGAGGCACAGACTCTTAGTATAGTTATCTGCAAAGGTTTGGTCTGGGTCTCATAATAAAAGCAAAATAGTAATCAAAGTGAATAGAGGATAATGGTCTTGATAAATGCTCTGTTTTTGTCTTTCCATTATTCTAAAGCACTTAAGATATAGCTGGTATAAACAGCCCCAGTGCAAAATGTAGCCATATCCCACTGCTGCTGAGGCCAGTTTAATTGGTATTGTTTCCTATGTTGTCAGTGAGTGTGTTTTGAAGATATTCTACAAGTTCTCTGAAAGGCAGAAGGAATGGAAAGCTGCCACAAAGGCCCTGGGATTTTTTGTCAGTGCTGTATTTATTTTCTGGCTGAGGAAATCTGGGTTTAGCTACCTTTTGCTTGTCAGGACTGTCAGCCTCTGAAGGTTGCCTGAGAATAGGAAAGCCATTTTTTTCCTTTGCTGCTTGTGCAGTGCTTTTAACTACATCGGTACTGGAATGCAAAGGAGAAAGCTGAAGAAGTTCATCTGACTTGCATATGAATCTTGCTCCTATCTTCAAACTTATTTTATTTGAAACCAGGATTTGTTTAATGCCTCAGATTCTGCTGTTTACTGCAGTGGTTGCAAGATCCTTGGTTATCCAATGGTAAAATGTAATTGCCAATACAGAAATGAAATTGCAGAACCTGCTTTCTAAACTGAACTCCAAGAAATCCTAACATTATCTCTTGTTTATTTTTAGCCATTTGGTTCAGGATCTGTAGTTCCCAGCTCAGTTGAAGGTAAGTGCAGGAAGAATTTTCCACTGTTTTTTTGCTTGACCCTTAAGTCTGATTCTCCCCACCCCCTACACCTAGCCCCAGTAAGTAACCTTTGGGATTAATACTAATCTCTCCTAAGACTTCCATCTCTAATATTGAACTCTAATAGTTCTCTGCTATTTAAACATATCAAGTTATTACCCAGAATTCAGCAATTAATAACTTAAGCTGTTGTACTTTCTGAAATGGCAGTTATGCCTTCAAATAACTTTACCCCTAGTACAACAGGGGCAAATCTCTCAGTCAGACCATGTAGACCTATTTCAGTGTTTTCTTAAAAAGAAGTTAAAGTACTGTCTTGTCTTTGGCCTGATTTCTGAAAAAACAAATACCTTCTATTTTAATTTTTTTAGAGTCAAAATTCAAACCGTTAACTGAGGAAATGCTTGTGTCCGTACCAAGGAGTATCAGAAGCTCTGTTAAACTAGCAGATGTGAACAACTTGTACAGGGAGCTATTTAACCACTTCATTGTAAATAAGAACAGGTGAGACTTACAGCCACTCATTACTAAGAATTTTGTAAGTTGTAAAGAAATTCACCATTTTCAAATGAAACAAACAGCTAGTTAACCATTTGCTGCTCTGACTTTGCATTTAATTTTGCTCCCTGATGGCCTTCCTGGTTAGGTATATATCCCAAAGCGTTAGGCCATCATACAAAACAGCCTAAATTTCTTCGTAGAAAAGTGGCATTTATAATTGGATAATTTACAATACCGAATGTCAGGTTCTTCAGAAACAGTCTGTTTTTTTCAAAATCCTAATGGTAAACACTGACCCTGAACTCCACCACCACCACCCCTTATCTCTCCCACAAGCCCTGACACCTTCCTGGGATTAGTGCTGCAGATCTCTTGAAGGTGATGGCAAAAATGAGGAAGTTTTAAGCTCGGAAATACTGTCTCTTTAATCCTGAAGCTGGGTTAGGAAGTGATTGTTCTTAGATTAACGCAGCACAGTAAAGTTGATGACAATCTCAATAGTATGAGAATTATGGAACACTTCTTAAAAATCATTCTTTAAACAATACGGGCTTTTTAGCCGTTTTCTGACAGACCTGCTGTTTGATACCCTGTTTTGCTAAACAGTTTGCTCTTGCCTTACAGTGCTGCACTGAGTGTTTCGCAGATGAACAAGATGAATATGAAAGCCACTGACTCAAGAATACGAATCTTAAAAGAACTTGCTATTGTGGAACTTGACAGACAAGGAAATGTTAAATTAGTTGCATAAACAAACGTTCGGTCCGTTCTCATTTGACACACAAGCATCTTCGTCATAGCTCCTGAATTATTAAAAAGCAAGTATTTCTTTGTTGTCCGAGGTACAAAAACACTGTTGGAAAGTTGTTCGTGTATCCATATAGAAATTCTATTTCTAGTACTTAAAAATGGCAGAATGAAAAAATGTTGAGGTTGGTATTTGATCTCGGGTATTTATAGGATTTAGACGATGCATTTTTGAACAGTGTTGTTAACCATGTGACGTTTCCATATTCTTGCTTACATTCCTGACATTCCTGTTTTTAAGGCAAATAACCCAAGCCACTTAATTGTACTTATACTCCTGAATAAATGATGAAAGTCAAGGAGACGGGGCCATAGATTTATTACGCTTCTGTTTAAATGACTCCTGACCCTGAGCCCTGCCCTAACCCCTGAACCTGGCCCCTGACCCCTTTCATTTTCCTTTGATGTGAACTGGCTTTTTACAGTCCAGTAAAACTGCAGCCTCGCAGAATAGCTGAGGTCTGGAGCTGGTCTGGTCCAACGCCCTGCTCACATCAAGGCAGGGCCAGCTGCAGCCGGTTGCTCAGTGCTGGGGCCAGTCCTGGTTTGAAAAACTCTGAGGATGAAAACTGCAGCACCTCTGGCACCATCTTGCAGTGTTTGACCACCCTCACAGGTTGTTTTGTTGTTGTTGTTTTTTTTTGTTATTATCCTCCTTTCTCAAATGAGATTGAAATATCTAAGTTTAATGAAATCTTGTAGATTTTGTGAAATGATGGCCAGCAAAGAAGAGAAGTTTAAATTGGTGCCTACAGGAAGGGGAATGCTCCTTTCTCAATTTGTTGGTGCCGTGGTCAGTCTGTTTGGAGCTTGTCGTGAAGAGGAGCAGGGTCTGTGTTGGGCAAGAGGACCGGGGATACCCTGATCGGATGCTGTTGAGTGCTGTTTTACCTACAAAGCTGCTCTCACTTCACAACTGCTTGAAGCATCACAATCCAATCGATCCCTAACTGCTAGGCTTGCTCTTTACTCCCTCTACCTTCAACAGCCTTAAAGTTCTGCTAGCACAACGTGCTCCAAGCGACCTGTAAGCGGGAAAACAAGCCCAGCTGGGCCAGCGCCTGCTAAAACCACCTGTCCTCAGGGCTGCGGTTACCCAGATCCATTCCCAAACCCCACGCGAGATGCGGGCACCCACCCGTGCAGCCCCCCGCTGCCTGCCACCGACTCGTGGGGCGGGGCGGGGGGGCTGCTCACCCCCAGGGCTGGGCTGGGCCCCCCCCCGTTACCGCCCCGTTAAGACCCCAACCCAACCGATCCTCCCGCAGCGCGCCCCCGCCACCCCGCGCGCGCCAACTTCGCCCTTAGCCCCGCCCACTCGGGGCGCGCGCGCGCGCAGTGCCTAAGCCCCGCCCCCCTTCCCCCTCCCTCCCCGCGGCCGCGGCCCGGCACCACCGGAGCGCACCGGGGCCGGGCCGGGGCTGGGGGGGCCGCGGCCATGGACGAGCAGAGCGTGGAGGTGAGCGGCCCCCCCGGGACGGGCCCGGCACGGCCTGGCCCTGCCGTGCTCCTCCTGGGCCCTGCGGCCGTTAGCGGAGGGCCCGGCCTCCTGCGGGGCGCCTGGGGGCTGGGGGGGCTCCTGGAGGGTTGAAGCTGGAGGGGGGCCGGTGCCTGGTGTGTAGGGTGGGAGCTGCTCGGTACCGGGAATAACCCTGCTGCTTGGGGACGGGCAAGGTGGGGCCGGGCAAATGGCTTCTCTGCCAGGGTGCGGAGAAACCGTGCGTTAAATTGAGTCCTGCTGAGCGGGGGTGGTCGGGGGGACGTGGAGGGGGCTGAGAAACCGTGGTGGGGATGGGAGATGTTAAAAGGATGTGAATCCTATTAGTCAATAAAATGCACTGTTGGAGGCAAGCTTTCGCATCAACGCTCTGTATCATACATGTGCTTAACGTGCTTCTCAATTAGCTTAATGTTAGTGTGTTGGAGCTCCTAGGTTTTGAGTCCATGGGTACCGTGCAGTTGTTTCTGGCAACTGTTCAATGCTGTGTGAGCACGAGGAGGAATAATATTTCTTGGCTGTGGAAATTCCCCCTTGGAAAAAGGGAAATCAAACAAAAAAAATGTATTCCTTAAGGAACTGTGTCCCAAAATGGGTGCTAAGGGCTGGTGGGATGTAAGAAGAGGTGGGGGGGAGAGCTGTGGTGTTTGACCCAGTATCTTGCTTTGAGATGTGCTACCCGTTGCTGTTTGGAATGGGATTGCACCTGTTCATCCCGGCATTCTGCCTGAAAAATGCATCTCTCATGTGTCAGAAGTGTGTGGCTTAACAATAGCAATAATCTATCCTTTTCCAGAGTATTGCTGAAGTATTCCGATGTTTTATTTGTATGGAGAAATTGCGTGATGCACGACTGTGTCCTCATTGCTCCAAGCTGTGCTGTTTCAGTTGTATTCGGGTGAGTTTACTTATTATGGCTTACTTTTGCAAATGTTTGAGCTTAGAAAATACTGTGATCTTACAAACACATTCTGCCTTCTTCCTTGCTTCTTTTTGTGGGGTTCTGAGGATTCCTTTTTCCTGCTGTGTGCTTTCTAGTTTTCCTTTCAAAATCTCTTACAACACTGAGGAAAAACTAGGCAGGCTGTGCTTTGCATTCAGTAGTGCTAATTATAGGGACTGTCTGGAAGAGTTACTCTTAAGAAACAGGTACCCGATGACCCTTTCTTCAACGTATTTTGAAAGTCAGTGACGTCTGTATGGAAGACAGAGTTGGGACAGGAATCAAACAATGACTGCATCTGTCAATATGGAACGTCCAGTGGGCTGAAGCAGCACCTGAATGCATTTTTTATGGTGACACTACTAACGTGTGATGCTTCAGTTCTGAGTCCAGGCATTGTGCTGTGCTAACGTAGTGCGAGAGGGTTCAGCTGGGGTTCTCAGACCTCGACCAGTACTTCAGGAATCACAACAGTCATCGTTCTCTCTGAAAGCTCTGCCAAGAGCTGTCGGTGGAGGATTCGTGCAGCACGTTAAGGATGTTAGGTGGCATGCTGTTGCTGGGTGGTGAGAGATTCTTCATGAGAATCTTTAAATGTAGCAGTGAGCTGCCAAAGGATGAGCCTCTCAGCTGCTGATCTTTTACATCTGTAAGCTGTAGTGGCCTGATGTAAAGTTCTTCCCGCAGCTCCTTGTCTTTGCGTAGAACTTTCTGGAAGAGAATTAGTCAAAGGGTCCTTGCGGATTTGAACTGCAGGTGTCTAACTTGTGTATAAATAGCTCAAGAAGAAGTAATAAGTTATCTCAAAGACTTCAGAGTCTCAGAAAAATATCCATGCTGTGTCTTTTGCTTTCTTTTCTTGCAATATGCTCTTTAGTCTGTAGCTATGGAAATCTGCACCAGATACGTGGTTTCTAAGGGAATATTGGGTACCTCAAAATTCCGTTTTTAGTTTTAACTGGAGTGGTTTTGACAACTAAAGAACGGTGGTGGTGGTGTTACTAAGATACAAATAGCTGCTTCTTCGGTAACTAAGTGGTTGAACGGTTAAATTACAAATCTCTAAAAATGGAAAAATGCAGGAAGGCTAAATAAAAGCTGTATTACTGCATAAAAGGTAACAAAGGGGAGTAGCTCCTAAATAACAATAGAATGTACTTGTTAGCAGTTCTTTTCTGGTGCTTTCTTTCAATTATTTTTTTTCCCTTCATAGCGTTGGCTGACTGAACAAAGAGCTCAGTGCCCTCATTGTAGGTAAGGTATTTTTAATACAAGGAATAAATTATCAGGAATTGGGTTTGCCAGCCAGTTAGCTATGAGGGGTCTTTTTTCAATGCAGTTTGCATAAATTGTTTAAGTGTGGTTTTTGAGACCTGCTGGCTGTAGCAATAAAAATTTACCTGATATATTACTTATTCTAATGTATGTTGCAGTTGTGTGATAAGCTAAGCAAGATCTTCATTCTTACCCTGTTACTTTGCAGTCTTCTATTGCCATATAATAAGAGTAACTAGGTGGTGTTCCCCTTAGAATTTTTAATGTTCATCTTGCAAGAATAAGAGACCAGAAATTCCAGTGTTCAGCCTGAAACGTATTTTTATTTTATACCTGTAATTTGTGAGATTTACCTTTTGTGTTGCAAATCCTTGGAGAGGTACCTCCTCAGTGTGTGCAGGTTTTGTTTTTGTTTTCAGTGCAACGCGACCCACACCTGCCCCATGGCACACCTTAGTGCTTCTGGTGCCTGAGTACCTAGCAATTCTCGTTCTTGATAAACTGAAGTATGGGAGGTGGGTGTGTTTTGCCCCAGGGAAGGGGAAGTAGGATGTATTTGCCTCTAAGGGAGGGGAAGTATTTATAAAAACAACCAACCATTTCTGAAAAACTTCATATTCAACTTTTAAAGTATTTTATCATTCGTTCTAAGTGCCTGTAAGGAGGTAAGTATGTCTGCGTTTTACAAGGGGGATAGTTGAAGCACTCCTCTAGGGATGGCTGAATAATGGTAGGGATCGAAGAAGCATGAGAAATGAAATGATTTGCCCAGTGTTATCCAGGAGTCTATTACCAAATCTTAAAGTAGTTCTTGATTTCCTCATGTAGCTGTTCTATACGTAGTTATGGGGTGGTTTGGTTTTCTTCCCCCCAATATGAACAAATCAACTTAAAATGTTACATTTCTTTTTTTTTTTTTCATCTGAAATAAATAGTATAGCTTCAGCATTTTGCCCATGGCTTTTCCAGTACTGTAGAATTGATGGACTGGTTTCATTTCAATGCTGCTCTTTTAGTTCCTGGAGCTGAATTCTCTCTGTAACTCTTGCAATGCTTCTTGCAGAGCCCCGCTGCAGCTACGAGAGCTTGTAAACTGTCGTTGGGCAGAAGAGGTCACACAACAGCTTGACACACTTCAACTGTGTAATCTGACAAAGCATGAGGAAAATGAAAAAGACAAGTAAATGGAGCATTCTTCACATGAAGGGTTTTGCATTTCACTTTACATGAGTGGACTTTTAATTTCAGCTCATTTTAAAGTCAGGGGAACAAACATACTTTTTCTTACTTAAAAACTGAATTGTGCTGTTGGTGAACAGACAAAGCAGTGCTGTTTCTCACTGTCTGTGTAAAAGTTGGAGTTCATTTCTGTCATAATTAATAGCAATGAGAAGGGTTCCTAACTTTATTTGCCTAGAAAACTACTTTTGTGTTTAAGATTTATATTCATATAAAAACATATATATATAAATACTAAATATATAATAGTCTGGAGATTTGGAGGAAAGAAGTGTGAGGAGAATCACTGAAAAATGGATAGGGACTAATTATGTGTTCCATACCTCCTCCTTGCCCAAGTTCCTGAAACCTAGTGGAGGAGGAAGGGAGAGGCATGTGTTGGAGGTTTGCCTGGTCTGTGCTTGGCTTGCTGATTGATGCTATTCCTGAAATTTTAAGAAATGACAGAGATCAGTTTGAAAAAGCTTATAAACCATTGTTCTGTGGTTACTTTATGTTGCATATGATTGAAATTTTAATAATGTGAAGAATTAACTTCTAGAATTCAGAGCTTGATTCAGTGATGATAACCTCTGCCTGCTGAGTATAAATCAGATTTTATTAATGTACTTTCTCTTTATGAAATACTTCCTGAGAGAACACTAAAAACAACATCTATTTTATGGAAGATTTTCGCTAACTATTCTTGTTGCAAAACTATGCTGATGATTTATGCTCTACTTGAGTTCTGTGTTTCACTCTGAGTGTCTGGGTAGCAAAACAAATGAAAATATTAAACTGAGTTTGCAGAAAATTAACAGGTGTTTGCTGCTGCTTACGTGTTTATTTTTTTATTTGAGGTGTGAAAATCATCATGAAAAGCTTAGTGTATTCTGCTGGACCTGTAAGAAGTGTATCTGCCATCAGTGTGCACTTTGGGGAGGAATGGTAAGAAGAAGCTTACTTAGATGTTGCACATGGTATGTTATAGTAAGAGACTGCCAGCGTTATGTGTGCCTGCAGTTTGAAGAAACAGAAAAGCTATGAAACTGGCAGTATGGCATTGAATTACTGTGCAAAAACTATAGTTATATATGCATTTATAATTATTACAAAGATTGGTTTTGCGAAGAAGTATCTTCTGTTTCTGATAATAGAAGTACATTTTAATTTTTGCTGAAAAATTAAAATTACCTTCTGTGTTACTAAATTCATGATGTCTTGGACAAACCATAGATGGTGGTGAAAAATTTTATGGGCAAAGGAAGTCTTTCTCAGATAACCTGTAATTTAAATGTTTTGGGTGATGATCTGTAATATATGCAAAGGGGAAACTGCTGTCATGCATTGGAATATAAGTGATCGAATGTTGCTTAAACAGTGTGCTGCCTTTGTTTGGGGAGGGTGTTTTAACAATAATAGTAATAACTCTTCTATCTTTGATTTGTTAATATTGTACAATAAATAAATCAGGTTATTTTTGGAGGACCATTGAGACTCCAAATAATTCTTGACAGGAAGCTTTGTTGTTGTGAAAGTCAAATTCATGACTTCTTATGAAGGGAAGTGAAAGACAGACTTCCTACATGCAATCTGCTTTGGAACCTTTCCAAAATGAGTGATACACCAGGAGGCTTTCTTCCCCTCTCTTTCAGTAATTTAATAGGACTAGAATAAAATTAAAATGGCATGTTCTATTTCCCCCATTCCCTGCCATTTATTTATTTATTTATTTATTTTTACAGCATGGAGGACATACTTTTAAGCCACTGGCAGAAATATACGAACAACATGTCACAAAAGTAAATGAAGAAGTGGCAAAGCTTAGGAGAAGACTCATGGAACTGATCAGTTTAGTGCAAGAAGTGGTAAGAAATTGATTCAAGATAACATTAAGTTTTCCATCAGTATGCTGTTGTCGAAGGATAACCATGAAGCAGGAAATGGAAGTAGTGTACCATTTCATATATTCGTGGATGTTTTCAGTACCTGTGTGTTGTTGTACTCTGAACATAATCAGGTGATCCCACAGACAGACACTTTCACTTTTTAGTTACTTTCTTTTTATAAACTGGGGAAGGACAAACATTCTCCCTGTTGTTTTTGTTGCTGCCAGACAGAAAAAGATATGAGTTTGCTAGCAGGCAATTTTTGATGTATGCTATTTAAAAGCTAGACTTGTGCAGTTCTTTGAAAGTTAAATGTTTACAAATATACGAAGCATGCAGACTGCTGTGCTAAGCAAGTACAAAAATGCTTTGTTTGAGTACAGCTTATTTTCCTTTCTTTGGGAGAAAAAAAATACAAGTATATTTGAGCCTACAGTATGCTCACTAGTTAGAGACCTGAAGTTTATGTACCCCACTTTTTCTTCCACATAGTGATAAGTGTGCTAGAATCCCAAACACCTGACACGTTCAGCCATGGCAGTTTCAGTGGCAATTCCAACAAAGCAGTGCAGTTCTCTGCATTCTAGGAAGGACCCACTGAAAGCTGTGACACTTACTTTATTTTCACAAGGACCACACAGTAAGTAAATTTGATTTTGTAAATCAAATTATTCTTTTTTCCAAAAAAGTAACTTTGCTAGGCTGCTCAAGTTACAGAAGAGAAACAGGTACTTGTATTCACAGATTTTGGTATAAAGGCTTTCTATAGGATAAATCTCTGTAATGGAAAAATATTGCTGGTTTGTTGTTAACCTTTGGTCACCCACCAGAGGGCACACTTATATATTCAATAAAAGTCAAAGGATATCCACAACATAATAATGAAGTACTTAAATTGGCAACAGGAATAGTCTATAGTACAGCTCATCTAAAAACACATTCCTATTTTCTTATTCATGCAAATTAAATATGCAAATTTCACTCCAGTAAGATCAAGATTTTTGGTTTTCCTCCTAGAAAAATAGGGATGGAGGGGGCTCTAAACAGACTTTTTGTATAACTCTGGGGTCTGGAAGAGTGGAGTTGACGTGCAGATGAGTGAAACGTGCTAAAGTGTGACGACTTCCTTTTTGTGCATGTTTTTTTCTGAACCCTCTTTTAGGAGAGGAATGTGGAGGCTGTGCGCAGTGCGAAGGATGAACGAGTTCGGGAAATAAGAAATGCGGTAGAGATGATGATTGCCCGGTTAGACACTCAGCTGAAGAATAAGCTTATAACACTAATGGGTGAGTATTTGCCTGATGTATTACTAATGGGAACAATAGATTCATAATGTATAGATCTATTGAGAAACTTTCTTACCCTAGGAATATGACTCCTTACACATTTTATGGTGTTAAGCAAGGAAACTGCTGACAGAAAACTCCCTACAGCAAATCTCATATTTAATGTTGTAGTTAATGTGTTGCAGCTCTAAGTTGGTAAACATACCCTGGTTTTGTTCTGTTCATGCTTGCAAAATGTCTTTAGCTTTGATAATGCTTGCTTTTATTCTTACAGTTCATTTCCATTTAAAAATAAAACATAATCAATGTGCTTTAGCTGTATTTTAGGATCCTCTTCAAAATGACAGTTCTTTAAAATGCTTGCTTTAAGTTAAATCCAGGATTTGTACGTATTCTATGCCTAAATTGAATATAGTAACAAATTGCAAGGTTTATTTTAAGGTGTAGTGATTGAAGATCAGTCTTAAAACCTTGGCAGAATGTTTTAGTTATTTTTATCTACAGATTAACATTTTGTGTGTGTGTAACACCTTTTTTTTCTAAGGACTAGCAGCCACTCTTCAGACACTGAATATATCATGGTGACAAAGTAAGTTCCCACAATAGGAAAACAGACAAATGTGGCGTTTATTCTTTCTTGTCAAGGTTTTCCTGACAGTTGAAATCTGCAAACACGTTTAAACATTGTTTGTTCATTTTTTTTTATGAAGAAAACACTTACTACTGAAGTCCAGAGAAACAGTGGACTTTAAGAGAAAAGCGTCAGCTAACATAAAACGGATTTCTGAAGGAGAGTAAATCTAGTGAAGTCAAACCTGCCTTTTTTTTTTTTTTGTCTGAAGAAGCTTTCCAAAACAACAAACCTATCATTTCTGGGACACAAAAATGTTTCATTACTGTCCTAACCTCAAGTGAGTTCATTACTACAGCTCTAATTAAAAACGTAGGCTTGCTTTTAAAATGCTTTCTCAATCAACCTTGGTATATTTAGAAATTCTTTACCTTATTAGGTTTTGGGGCAGCTTCCAGACAAGGGTGGGAAAAAAACCCCTAAATTTCTGAAAATCTAGCGACTGTTTCATCTCGTCTTTAACCAGGTCTTCCTTTCTTTAAACAGGTCAAAAGACATCTCTTACCCAAGAAACTGAACTTCTGGAATCCCTGCTTCAAGAAGTAGAACATCAGGTGATTATGAAAAAAAGCTGAAATGTGTTGCATAGATAATTTCTCAGTTGACCTTTTTTCCTATTTTTAAACTATTAATTGATGGCTAGAGCTGTATCTTCATGGTATCTTTTCATTACAGTGGCCTTAGGTTGCACATTTTCTTTTCAAAAACAAGTGTGTCTTCTAGAAATAATGAAATGTGTTATCTTCTGTTGTTTGAAAAGCTGCTACAGGGATTACTGACAATTAGAAAATCCACAATTATGCATTTGTTTAAGGTGTAACAGCATTTAGGCCATGTGGGTAGGTTCTGTTAGCTTTGACTCTGCCAACAGCATATGAATCGTGGTGGCTATAAATGGAGAATAAAGAAAAATCTGTTTCTCTCTCCAACATGACCTTGTATCACTCTTTTCACCTTGCTTCTAGCTACACAAGTTCAGCTTTTGTAAAGAAATACTCAAGTTCTGCAGAGCCTGATTGTACTGTTCCTGAACAATTTGTACCTGCTCTGAGATGAGAAAGTGGAAGGGTCTCTTTCCTTCGAGTATTACCACATCCAGTAATTGTCTTTCAGGAGGGTTTGATGTTTTGTTTTGGGGATAGTAGGGAAAGTTTCTTTGTGAATGATGCCCCTTGTCCTGTATTAATTCTTCGTTCTCCTGCTATGTTTTTGATTGAGTAAGAATGCTAAGCTGGCTTTGTAACCTGATCAGCAATTCCTGTGTTCTCCTTGCACTTGATTTAATTATTTCATACCTATGATGGAACATTGTGGTTGAGGAATTGATGACACCAGGAGGATGAGTAGTCCTGCATCAGCATGTTTTTGCCTATTTGTTGGGAGCCCTCTGTTTATAGCTTGTTCAAAAATTAGTTATGTTGCAACCCGAATGAAGACCTTGTAAATCTTTGAGAAACTGTGTATGCACATCTGCAGATCAGCTTCTCTTCTGTGGAAAAAGCATTCAAGTTATAACAAATTGACACTAATGAAATACGACCTCTTCTCCCTCCAAAACAGGAGGAAAAGCTTACTAGCTAAAGAGCCATGAGAAGTTGCAGGTATCTGGCAACTGTTACTGCTAGTTTAAATTCATTATATATGTTTTTGTTAAAAGGGGCTTTGAATTTCACTTTTCCGTGTGTGTGGAAGTAATAGGATTATTTGAAGAACTCACTGCAAAAATATGGCTCTTTTTAAATGCGCATATCAGTCTCACTTAAGCCTGGCAGAAAGTTTGAACTGTAAATCTAAGATGTATTCTTCTAGTATTTAAAGCATAAATAAGAAGCAGAGTAATTTGCTTCCTTTAGCAAATTGGTTTAGAAGATTCAGTAGTGGCTATTCAAGGAACATACAACATTAACTTTGTTGAGATTTTGAAAACATCTTCATTATTAGACTGGTCCTGTAGGCCACCTTGAATGAAGTGGATTGAAATGCTTTTTTATTTTTTGCCATCTCTTTAAGATAATAAAGGCTTCATTTTGTTCAAATGTGGTTGGGAAAAGAAGTACAGTGCTTGGCAGTAAGACTGTAAAGAATAATTGAAACACAGAAACTGTCTAATGTCACAGGAGCTTGTCTTGCTGTGTCGTGATATATTGAGCAAATTATCTTAATGTCTAATTAAGCTTCTTTTCCAGATTGATTTACTCTGCTATTGTTGTATAAGCACAGTAATGTGTGTGACTTGGTATTAATCAGACATTTTTATACATACTCTTTTAATCTAAGTGAAATACGTACTAATTGTTTTAATTTTCACTGTAGATCTTGACAGTCTTCAATATTCAGGAGTTCCCAAGTGGGTTGTGCAGGCCTGGTAGTGAGACAGAATTAAAATACCATTTTAACAACTTAAGAGAAACACATGACTATAGTAGCTGACAGTTTCAAGGGAAATAAACAAAGCAACAACAAAATACTCTTGAAGCATCATTGTAGATTGCATGGTGGGAAACTTCTGTGAAGCTGTTGCAGACATGAAGTTCATGTGTTTAAAAACAAGTGATCAAAATCTGTTTTGTCTTAATGATGTAAGGATTTTTTTTTCCTGTTTTCCTCTGTGTAGTTACGATCATGCAGCAAGAGTGAGTTGATATCCAAAAGTTCAGAGATCCTGATGATGTTCCAGCAGGTTCATCGGAAACCTATGGCCTCATTTGTCACTACTCCTGTTCCTCCAGACTTCACAAGGTAAGCGTTGTTTCCTCTCTGTTGTAGCTTGAACTTGAAAACTGTCTTATAACTGTTTGTTTTGCTTGTTAAATAAGTATTTAGAAAAGAGTATCCCTTTCCCGTTTTACTGTGTAAAGGATTCCCAAATTGCTGAAGATTGTCCCATGAGACATTTCTTTTATATGGAAGAGGATGTTCCAGTGAGTCTGGGAGGTAGATGTATGTTGATGTGCATGAGCCTTCTATAAAACTAGGACAGGACACTACCACTGTATTTTAACGTGTGGATTTGAACAAGTGGGTGATAAGAGACTGATAGGCAGGTCGCTAGAGAGATTCCTTGATACGCACCTCTAGTGAAGAGGTGTCTTGCTTCTCTGCCTTGTAAGCTGCGGCAGCAGTAATCTGGGCAGTAGTGGGGTTCTGTCATTTTCTCAGTGTTAAACCTGTTATCTCTGACTGAGCTGGGCTCTGGGTTTATATGCCCAAAATGTCAAACAGTTTAATTTCTTTTAGTAGTGTATGCCTCAAGAAGGCTTTTCTGTTCCAGCAAGGCTTATTTCATAAGTCTGTGGTCACAACTGAGGAGTCAGAACAGTGGGTTCCAGCTGACTAGACTTTTTTTCTTTGACACTTAGCTTACCAATTTGTCCTTTTTCTCTTATTATTGGGGTCGTTCAGCATATAATTGCAAGGCTCTCATGAGATGCCTCTGCAGGTCACCTTAATTCAGAATATATAGCTAAAATCACTTCCTAACACAATTCTTCTTCGTATAAAGAGTGCTGTTAATGCTGGATTCTGAAGAAGTCTGTGGGTTTAGGATAGCTGTCTGCAAATTGTCTCCATAAAATTGCGAACATGAGAGACCTTAAAAGAACCCCTCAAATCCACTTGTGTTCTTTAGCAAATACCAGTTTAGCTTGCTTTTAAATGAAATCTCAAATCTATTGTCCTGAAGTGTATTCTGAAAAAAATGAAGTACTATCTGAGGAGAGTTTAAAGCTGAATATTCATTTTCCAGTGGCAGTAAGGTATGTATGGCTCTGAAACATGAACCATTTAAGCTTTGTATTTCTGGCCATGCAATAGGTTCATCCTTCTAGAGCTATCAGGGAATTTTATGTTAAAAATTCACTCTTATTAACAGATTACTAGGCATAACAGGTAAAAGGGTAAATCCTCTTAACTATCTTTAAATACTTTCAGCTGCTTTTTCTTTGTAACGTAAAATACTTGATTTGATGTGCAGTATCACATGGAGAGGTGCGGGGGAAAATGGCTTATGAACGGATTCTTCAAAAGTGCTGAAATAACCCAGTGTAGTCCTGGTGAATCTCGGTGGTGCTAGTGACCTAAATCATATGAAATGCTTCTGAAAATTCCAGAATGGACTTTTTAATGTCATGTTATTCAGTGTGTTCTAATGTATTTTTTCCTCTCAGTGAATTGGTCCCAGCCTATGACTCAACTACCTTTGTACTGGAAAACTTCAGGTAAGATTGTATCTTAAGAAATTACTGTGACTATCAGGAAGCTTCTTCTGTTTCTTCTGCTCATGTGTAGTATTCTTTAAAACACTGAATAATCTTTACTGAATATTGTTAGATATGAACTAAGCTGTATGAATTTAGTCAAAATCTAGTTATTTACCAGGTGAATAGCAATTAACCGTAGCTAAACAGATAGATAAAAGGTTTTTCATGATAAAGACAAACTACTTAGTTTTCTTTTTTCAAAATATTGAATAACTTTGCAAGGAATACATATTCTTAAGGGCACTGCACATTTTGCATGGGCCTCATGCAGGCACACACTCTGTGTAGCATGAAGGTTGGCTCTACAGTGTTAAGAGTGCAAGTGTATGTGCAGCTTACTATTTCATGGAGGGTTTTGCTTTGTCCCTATAGCAAATGTTTTTTCTCCTTTCTCAATAGTACGTTGCGTCAGCGAGCAGATCCTGTTTACAGTCCACCTCTTCAAGTGTCAGGACTTTGTTGGAGGTTAAAAGTTTACCCAGTGAGTTACATTTTTCAACTAAAATTGTTATCCAGCCTAAAACTCTTAGGCAGTGTGCTTTTGCTTCTCCTGTAGGGAAATATCAGATAGTTTCTTCCTCAAGAGAGGAGATATTGTATATAAAGAGCTGTATGGAAAAAAACTTAAGGCTGCAGAGTTTTAATCATCAGCCATTGAAGTGTTCCCTCTCTGCTTCCAGATATCCATCATGAACATTTTTGTTAATCTGGTTAATGTAAAAGCAATTAGAATGTGTCATATGCCATAGGAACTATAATAGACGGTTTTCCTCTTCTTGTCTTTGAGTGTTTCTTGTAGATGTTTCTTAGTTTGAATTAAAAGAACAACAAAAAACAAGCTGAAGTCTAGATTAACTTACAGATTCGTGTTTATGAACAATACTTATTTGTGAAGCTGGGAGGAGGACAGAGTATTAGTTGAAGGGGAATCTGTTTTTCTGTGTGCACTGTTCTCAAATGCTGATGTTAAAATGTACGTATTGTACTGTCATCCTTTCAGCGGGTTGAGTGTTCAGACTTGTGAAGCAATCTTTGTCAGTGTTGGAGCGTTAACCTGTAAGGTGTAATCTTTTTTACTCCACTGTTCTGGTCAGTGCTTCCAGGAAGTTCTGACTGCAGAAATGTTTGGAGAAATACCTCCATAAGTTTGATGGTGGAGTACAAGTTGGTGTTTTTTTATCAGTCATTTGAATAGCATCTTCAGAGAACTGTTAAGGTCACGTAGGTACAGAACTGTATTCTAGCAGTGCAGAGGTGGACTCCTGTGTAAGTTTTCAGAGCACTGTAAATTCAGGATTGACTATGTAAGGTGTGCTGTCAAAAGACATTAAAATTAATTTTCAAGTGGTAAGTTGAAATGTTTCTTCAACCTAGAGGATTGAAGTTGAACCATTCTTCATCCTTGATTGAGGTGAGTGTGATGGAAATTTTGCCATAAATTTTCTTGATTTCTGGTGATTCTAATATGGTTACTCTGTTAACTGACCTAACTTCTCATGTTGCATGTTTTTCTAAAGAAAAAAGTACTATTCTCTCATTTCAAAAAGGAAGTGGCTTTGAAATACAGTTTTATGTGAAGCATTTCAGAACTAATGTTTAACTTGAGCTGTTTTCATGTTGAGGGCTTGAGGGAAAACAAGATATCTACTAAACTGATGAGCTTTTTTTTACTGCTTTTTCAATGCTACATTAATATTTTTTTTTGTATGTTGACAAATATTTGTCTATTCAGTCTGCCACTTAATTGAACTTGTTGGAGTTTTATCAGTGATACAAATACTGGAGTGTGTATGCACTTCTAGATGCAAGCTCTACATTGATTCAGATTGCAGGATGAGCTCTTAGTCACAGAAGGAAAAAAAGCAGAACTGTAGCATACAGAGTAGCCTACTGCTGAAAATATGATTGAAGGTGTTTGCTGAAACTGTTTTCTGAGCCTTGAAGAGTGGGGAGTGTACAGGTGGGGTTTGTCTGGCTTTAGCTTTTTTTTTTTTTTTTAACTAATTTATCTTCTCCTAATTTTCTATTTTTCAAGGATGGAAATGGAGTGGTACGGGGCTACTACCTGTCTGTGTTCTTGGAGCTGTCAGCTGGACTGCCAGAGACTTCCAAGTAAGCATACCGGCAGTAAGAACAGCCCTGCTGTGGTTGGGTGTGTTTTTTGTTGGTTGGGTTGGTTTGTGTTTTTTGTTTGTTTTTTCTTCTGTTGGCAGAGCATCTGGAGAGGTTGGAAAAGAATGACCTGAAGTCCTGTAGTGTTGCTAGGGACTGATGCAGTCAGTGTTGAAAGTGAGATTCATGTTGTCTGAGCTTTGAATCGTGCCTGAAGATAGTATTTTCAAGATGCTACTCAGTGCCTTAATTAAGATAGAAAACAAGCTGGCTAAGCAACTGAGGACAGTATGTGTCTCCTGGTATTTAGTCACAGACTTAGAGTTGGTCTGACAGACTGCTCCCTTCTACTACCTTCCTTCCCCAGTAGTGTTTATGTAAATTTTCAATAACATTTTACAACTGAGTCACCTTTTCAGCTGGACGTGCCAACTTCCCAGGAAGTGCGATTCTCTTAAACTTGACACATTCAGCTATTCTGACGTCTCTTTGCTTTGGTATTATTAATCTGTGATCTTCCTTTGTGCAGGTACGAGTACCGTGTAGAAATGGTTCACCAGTCCACCAATGATCCCACTAAAAACATAATTAGAGAGTTTGCTTCTGATTTTGAAGTTGGAGAATGCTGGGGTTACAACAGATTCTTTCGTCTAGACTTGCTAGCCAATGAAGGCTATCTGAACAGACAGAATGACACCGTGATCCTAAGGTATGAACGACAACTTAGTGTAGCTTTTTTCTGCTGTTATTTCATAAAGTATCATACTATTGAAGTAGGAAACAATTAAGTAGTTGATTTTAAAATAACTGTGACATGTTTTGTCATAAATGGATTTCACTGTCATTAGCGATCTTGTTCCTTTAAAGCTTAAGGAAGTTGAGAAAAGCTCAAATATATTTGAGAAGAAGCTGTCCTTGACTTTAATATGCCTTGGTTGGAGATCTGTAGGTAACTCAGAAGAAAAAGGTATATTCTTTCCCTTGGAGTGTAGTGAGCTTTGGGCATGAAGGAAGCCTGTAATGTAAGGCAACTAATGCTGCCAATAGAAACAGCAATGTCGTGACAAATGTAGAAGCTTTGTCTACTTCAGATACATCTGCAAAGTCCTACTCTTGCTACTGTTAAATGCTTTGTATAATGTTAATTCTGATTGTTTGGCTTGTGAAGAGAGCTACCTCTTCTCTAACTGCTTCAGCTACAAAATGCATCCTGTTACCAGTCAGTGCATTCAGCATACTGAGTACAGAAGTACATGTTGTGATGAAATACACTGAACAGACTAGACTCCAGCTTGCCTGATGGACTTATGCATGGCTTTTCAGACTTGGAAAAGTTTCAGTTTTCTGACAAATGTTGTTTTGAAGGTTTCAGGTGCGCTCACCAACCTTTTTCCAAAAGTGTCGGGATCAACACTGGTATATTGCTCAGTTGGAAGCAGCTCAGACAAGTTATATCCAACAAATAAATAATCTCAAAGAAGTAAGTGGGATATTTATTGCTGTAAAATCAGCTTTTATTGACCATCAGTGAACTGGTTTAGGTTACAAAGTTCACATTGGATGATTTTGTGTACTTGGGTAGCTATTGGTGCTTTGATATTGTCATTATTAAAATATGATATATGCAAGTCAACAAAATAATTTGATGATGCTGTTCCATTGTAGTCTTCTATGTGCACTTTTGTGTATTCTTCTATTATTTAAGAGGCTTGCGATTGAACTTTCCCGGACTCAGAAATCACGAGGCATTTCACCTCCAGACACCCATCTTAGTCCCCAGAACGATGATAGTCCAGAAACAAGATCAAAGAAATCTGGACAAAGCACTGAAGTACTACTTGAGAATGTTGCTGCTCCAGGATTAGCGCGAGACAGCAAGGAGGAGGATGAAGAGAAGATCCAGCATGAAGACTTTAATGTAGGAATTGTCTCTCTTCTGCCTGCTTTTCTGTGTAGCTTTTTATGCTAGGATAGCAGTAGAAACGTAGTGTCTGTGTGGAAATAGGAGATAACAAACTTGAGAGGTAGCAAGAGATGACAGAGGTGTTCTGGAACAGAGCTACATGATCCTACCACAAGAAGGTTTCCCAGCTGCAGCTGAAAAATCCAACTTTCCTGTTTGTTACCAGCTTTTAGTTTTGCTTTCAAAACCCTCTTAATTTTTCTATGATTGTGTGACACCTCTGTGGAGATAGGATTTCTCTTTGTGTGTTTTGGTAAATGCATTAAGGTGTGAGTGAGATGTTCCTTTTTGTTCTTTTATTCCTGTAGCATGAACTCTCTGATGGTGATTTGGATGTAGATCTTGCTGGAGAAGATGAGGTGAACCACCTCGACGGTAGCAGCTCTTCAGCTAGTTCGACTGCAACTAGTAACACTGAAGAAAATGATATTGATGAAGAAACTATGTGAGTAACTTAAAGTGCCTCTCAGATCATCACCGTGTCTCCCAGTGGTAATCATCCTGTTCTAGTGGAAACTGACTCATTTGATATATTGCTGTTACGGTGTATGTGGGAGTCAGTGCAACCTGAGGGATGTTTCCTGTACTGGAAACAACATGAACTGGTACAGTTAATCTTAAACATTGAACTTTCAGACAGCTAGTTCTTTTCTTTCTGGTCTCCTTTCTATTTTTTGTAACATTTTCTGTCTCTGGCTCTGTAAAAGTTCTTTCCCAGAACGCCAAGAAACCTGTTTCTATACTGATCAACACTAATGAAATAGAGGCTTGGTATTAGAAAGTGGTGTGGTGGTAGGAGAGTGATGATAAGGACAGGTAGTTAACTAAAACTAGAGAATTTAAATTTCTTAGCTGAGGTGATGCCAAATCCTAAAATCTTCATTAAAACACGAGAACGTGTTGTAACACATACCAATACAGATGTTTGCAGGATGAGATTTTACAATCTAGATGTTTGTGACACTTTTTACTTATTTAATTTGTGTGGCTGGGGATGCAGAAGGTACTGTTTACAGTTCTTTGTGTTTATCTCAGCGTTATGTGCCATAACATTTAAAGGGGGCTGACAGAAGATAATAATTAATTATATTCTCCTTTTTCCACCCCAATCATCACCTGAGGTCTGGAGAAAATGATGTGGAATACAGTAATAATATGGAGTTGGAAGAAGGAGATCTCATGGAGGATGCAGCAGCTGCTGCTACTCCTGGAGCGTCAGGTATGAAAAACAGCCTTCAGAATTCCCATTTATGCAAAACGCTGCTGGGTTTCTTCCCCTGTTCTTCTTGGAAGCAACACCAAGCTGTGTGTTCTGCGGGCATTTCTATTTTTGGAAATGCTGCATCATGTAGTTTGTACTGATTATTGCAGTGTGGCAGAAACGTCTCATTGGTTCAGTAAAAAAAAAAGGCGGGGGGAATCTTTTGAATGTGCTCATTTAAAAACGATGCGTAAGTTAGAAGGGAGATCTCTCTGCCTCTTTGAAAACCTTCCATTTCAATCAAAAGTAGATTGCCAAGCAATTTCTTACTAATGTCTGTGTGGCCTCTGAACATGTGATACATTCACCTGGATTTTAGTGCTCTGTAAAACCTAATCTGCATGGAAGGAATGAAGTGAAAAATCCTTACAAGTCAAGCAGAAATATATTTTAATTGTGATAATTATTTAATTATTTCTGTTCTTTAATTGTAATAATGGAAAGGTGAGCCATAGGTTAACAAGATCCTGAGATGTTGAATATATACGTATTTATGGCAGAGATGACCACAAATCAGGAGTGGCATTCACCAGAAGTGGAATTTATGCTGCAGTGGCTAATGGGGAGAGGGAAAAAGCTATAAAGTTTATGTGCATGCCTTCAGAATAATCTTTGTATTGATTTGTTAATTAACATTTTCAATCTATTAAGAGGTTTACATAAAATAGATTAAATGAAATACTTTTTGTCCATAACTCTTCCTTAGGTACCAGCCATGGCTACACCAGTGCAAGTGGAAGACCTTCAAGGCGGGGAGGAGGTGTCCTAGGCTCAACAGCCAGTAGCAGTTTACTAGATATTGATCCCTTGATTTTAATCCACTTGTTGGATCTCAAAGACAGAAATGGTATGGAAAACCTCTGGGGCCTTCAGCCACGTCCACCTGCCTCTCTTCTACAGAACAGAGGTAACTGCACGTCACATCTCAAATAATCTAATTGCAACCTGGAAATATCTGAGAGTGCAGTTCCAGAGTTAGAAGCAGGTTTGAGGAGTGGGTGAAGGATAATGACAGGCAGTTCTCACTGATAGCTAGACTTTCACATCCTCCTCTGTGCTCATCAGTATGCTGTATCTTACTGCCTGCTCTGACGTTTTCTTTGTCTTAATGGTTGACCTCAGCTTGAGAATGCCAGATGACTCAACTGCAAACAGCAGTGTCTATCGAGGAGGGTCTTCGCGTCTGTTCTTGGGGGATGTGACTGAAGTGGCTGGCTGGTTTGTGTAGCAACATAGCAGTGATGCAGTTCGTGCAGTTTCTTTGAAAGCTGCTGTGGGAGATGAATGAAAGGCCCTTTTGTAGAAGAGGTTAGCATTGAAAGTCAAAATAACACAAAACAGCTATCTGCTCAGAAAGCAGTTACACCTCTTGCTTCACACAATTTGTACATTTGGTGGTTTAGAGTACCAGCAGTGCAGTGTGTACTAACAAGAAAAGAAATCCTGGAATTTACTTCTATACAAAAAAAAGGCACTTAGAACTAGAAAGATGTATGTAGCAGCAAAGCTGGAAATGCAAGCAGAGGGCAAGGGAATGTTGGCTAGAAAACACTTAAAACCAACAGCTCAGAAAGAGCCCACTTAAGCACTTAGGGAAGAAAAATGGATCAGAATGTCAGGAGGAAGTAATGTGATGCTATTTAAATAATTGAAGATTATGATAAGAGTACTTTCAGTTTGGGTGGGACCCTTCATCTGAAAACAGCAATTAAGTTCATGTGCAAGATACCTGGCAGCTCTGGCACCTGTGGTTATTACTGATGGTAATCCATCTCTCCAAAAATGGAGGTCAGTTCCACAAGTACGAAAGAGGAGGCAGTGTGTGGGCTGTGTGTCTGAGCTCTGCTTTGCCTGGAAAAGGCCTAGACGAAAGGACCTTAAGAGGAGGCACTGCGTTTTGGGCTGTAGTACTTGAGCAAGATTAAGCTCTGCTGCTGTATTGAGTGGGTTCTTGGTCTTAAGCTCCTGGTACACAGCTGAAATTACCTGCTCTGCTGAGGTACCCTTAAGGTTTGACTGTTCCCAGAACTTATTCAAGTCATCCAAATAGGAGAAAGCTGCTGTTATATGTAGAGTTTGCTGAACTTCACCTCCTAAAATGAAGGTTTCCAAGAGCCACTTGGCTTTGCAGCTCTGAACCAGCTGAATTTGCAATGAAATATCCACAGTCTGTAGCACTCAGACATTAAAGTTGATCTAATTCCAGCTAAGCAGCACACAGGCATACTCAGGTGTTAGCTCTTTGACCTGATGTTGTCGTGTTAGGTACCGAGGGGAATTCCTTCCCTAGTTTCAGATTTGAGTTCCGTGTGTTAGCATGAAATGGTGGTGGTATGAGAATCTTATACAGGTATTTAACGCATTTTATAAAAACATTTAACAAATCTGATGTTTTAACTAGCAACCAGACTTGCTTGTCTGGTAATACAGGGTTGTTGTCAGAATTCATGTCATAGTATCAGGGTCTTCATTCTTCCATAGAACAAGTTCTGGGCCCTTCTGCTATGGCAGGGAGAGAACAGCGATCTGCTGTCCCAGTAGTGATGCAGTGCTAGCATCCTAAATACTATGGTGCTATAGCGTACAGAAGAAAGTGTTTGTATCCATTGTTTTATAGTAGTGCAGAATGTAGAATCCTTGTAGCTGCTAAAAAATAGATACCTGTTTTTATTTGAGAACTGTTTTACTTACCTGTTGTGTTCTTTAACTTTTGCCTTTGGTGAAGCATCATCGTATTCTCTAAAAGATCGAGATCAGCGGAGACACCAAGCGATGTGGCGTGTGCCGCCTGACCTGAAGATGCTGAAGAGACTTAAAACTCAGATGGCTGAAGTACGAAGCAAGATGTCTGATGTGAAAAACCAACTATCAGAAGTAAGAAGCAGCAACGCTGGCTCATGCGACGGGCAGCCCAACTTCTTCTCCATTGAGCAAGGTGCTTTAGCTGCCTGCGGAACGGACAGCTGCAGCAAGCTGCAAGAAATAGGAATGGAACTACTGACCAAGTCTTCAGTTACCAGTTGTTACATAAGGAATTGTAAGTGCTCAGAGAAGGGAGGGATATAAATGTCACTTGGATAGGTGGTTTATGTATCCAGGCACCTGGAAATAGACCTTTTTGTAGTTATTCATACTCAAGAATACATAAATTTAAAATCTAAAATTTTTAGTCCCAAATGAGTAGTACACCTACAGTGAGAAAGTTCTGAAGTTCAATGCAGTATTGAACTGATTCTAGCTGAAGGTCGTTTCTTGGTGAATGCTGCTCTAGATCATCTATGAATTGATGTTTCGTGATGCTTGTGGAGAGACTTTGCCTTTTGAAAGGCGACCTCTTTCAAAGAGGTGCCTGTGTCTGTCTCTTCAGGTACTGTCACTGAATCCTGGTAGGTGTCACTGGTGTAAGTCAGTGTGGAATTTTTCAAGTACCAGCACAAAGACTGTGCAAGTTGCTGATGACCTTTATAAAGGCACAGATGGTTCAGTCTTCTCTCACTTCCCTGTTGCCTGGGACAGATGATTTTCCAGCATTCTGAGTTTTGATTCAAGTTACTGCTTGTCTTTTTGGAGCCAAGGCGAGTAAGAAATCTATTACAAATGTCTGAGTGGACTGAAGAGCTGGTATAATAGTCCTGTTCTTCTCTGTTCCTTTCAACACTGACCTGCAAAAAAGGGCTTTGGCAGCTCCAGCCAAGTTCTACCCTGCATTTCATCACTTCCACAGATCAGAAAATTTCTTCTCTGGTGCTCATTGAGGATAGAATTGCGTCTTAGTTAGGAGTCTTAAATTGCACCATCAGTAAGCCACAGAAGAATTAAGCCACACCTTTGGAAATGCTAGCATTTGTGTGTTGTGTGGCTTTTAGTGCTACCTCTTTCCTTAGCAAATGCTTCATCTTTCAAAGACTGTTAAGGCAGTAGGAAGTCCCTTCACTATGCAACAGAACTAGAAGAATGGGCATACATTGTTCTGTAAAACTGGAGCAATCTTCTGACTTGCATTGAAGCTTAAATTCTTCACTTCTATGGGATGTGGTGACAGTAAAACTTAGTGTTTTGCTGTTCCAGTTGCCATGCCATTCCTATACCTAGATGAGTTTCTGTACCATGAATCACACTGACACACGGTCAGGGAACAGGAAATTTGGGAAGTTACGGATGGTGTGAGTCCCGTAACCTGACACCAGTCTTGCGTTTGAGGTCCTTAGTGACCTTGGGCTTCAAACATAAGAGCTGAGAGATGGTTTTGGCTGTCCGTATCCTTTACACTTCCATGCTGGAGTACGATGGCTGAAGCCATCTGGGTGATCGCTTCCTGAAGGATCTCTTAGGCAAGCGGGCATTTCTGGTGTATGCTCGGCCTTATCCCTAGTTACTTCAGCTTTGTTCTAGACCATGTTTTTGAAAAGAAGGGCATGGAAGGAGTCGTGTGCGGGTTAGGGAGTTGAACTCGATTTGTCTCATTGCTTGTTAACCACTTAAAACAAGCAGGAATGCAGAATACTGTAGCAGTTTGATTGGATCTTTGTCACATCTTAAACTGTGTTTGCAGCTGCGAGTAAGAAAAGTAACTCCCCCAAGCCTATTCGCTCTGGAGCAGCAGGGAGTCTGTCTTTACGAAGAGCTATGGACTGCGGGGAAAGCAACCTTCGGCTAAAGGGAGACAGTCAAACTTCTGAGGGTAAGCAGTCATCTGAACTTGTGTGGTGCATTGCATCTTAGCATGTGTTGTGCAAAAGCTTTTTGAAAAGTCCCTTTGATTGGCAACCGAAGTTTGCCTGAGACTTGTCTGGATCTGTTCTCAAATCCTTCAAATGTTACTGTACCTGTGTAGACCCTAGATAAGTGGTCAGCTGTGGAACAGTGCCACACAGCTGACTTGTCGATAGAGCATAGATGTATGTGTTAGATATTGCTTCTGGTCCCTCTGAAGACATTTCAGGGGTTACCTTTACAGCAAAAATCATAGATGACAAAATACTGAACAAGCTTAAATTGTGATTTGACTTAAAGGGAATTCAGGAAAAATCCCAGTGTGTGTGACTGAAAGAATTGTAGAGCGTTGCTGCTCCTTGGCTTTATGCTGCATTTCTGTGATTGAAATGAAATACAGTTAAGCATCCAGTTAAAACAAAAGTGGATGCGCTTTGAGCTTCTCTCCCTCTTTTCTCAGGTGGCCTAGGGAGTTCGAAGTCAAGCAGTCGGCACCACTGTCCCAGGCCCCTGGCCAGCAGTAATGCTGCTGAGGCTCTGCCTAAGGCAGAGGAAAGACCTTGTGAAGTTTCAGATTCTGATGTGGGAGTTTCTGGCTTAAATGGCTTAACTGCTGTAGAGAAGACCAGAAAAGCTGGTGCTCTCATTGCTCTAGGGTAAGGACTTTTTTTTTCCTTCCTTTCCTTGTCTCTTTCTTTCTTCCTTTTATTGATCTAGAAATAATGCCAATCCACTACACCCAAGTGCTTGGAACATGGAAGTGAAATTACTTTGAAGTTTACTTGGTTGCTGTTGTTCCCTATGGAGATCAGTTTTTTGTTTTATATCTAGAGTATAGGTCATCTTTTCTTTCTTAATTGTCCGTTATTGTAGTCTGCTACTTTTATTTGAAAGGCTTTTTTCCCACAATTCATTCCAATATATCATCTGACTGAGGGTTGCCACTTTGGGTTTCCTCATTTAAAAGAACACTCTTCACTGGGACTCTGTTTTTCAGTAGTTTCATAATAGTTCAGTAACACATCTCAGAGGGTTAAGTGCATTTTCTAAAAATACTAAGGATTACAATTATTTTGAAAATACAAACTTTGTGGTTTAGGTTTTCAGATTTTAAATACTTCTAAATCAGTTAAAGCTGGAAGTTTAAGTGGAAATGACTTGAAACAAGGAGTAAAACTAGATGATGCACTAAAAGGAGCTGTTTCTGTAGCTGGATTAAAGCTGAATTTCTAATGTATGTTTCTGTGTTTCTCCTAAATTCTTTCCCAAGGTCAAACTCTAAAGGATATCGCACTGAGGGAACACAGTCAGGTAGTCTGGAAAACAACGCTGAAACTGGTGAACTGCAGGGCGTGCTTTCTGAAGGCGCTTCAGCGGGGCCAGAAGAAGGTAAATTGGATGTTGTACAGGGCAAATGCAGCGTTGTCCCCCGTCCAGTCTGTGGTTGTTCGTTACTGTAATGGAAATAGCTTGAAGGGGAGAAAAAATCACCTGTGTCTATGGGTGTTGAACTTCACTATAACGTTTGGCAGCTGTTGTATAAATCTAAATGAGGAAGGAACATCTCCGTGCCACTGCTCTCTGTGGAGTAATAGTGATGTTATGGTACAACAGGAACGTGGAGAGCTAGCAGATGAGGTTACAAGGTGCCACCTATGTCTCTGGACTACTGCTTGTTTTTTCTACCTCTTGATATGCCTCTGGGTCTTTTGCTTTGCTGTTTGTTTTTGTGGCCATGTAGATAATTTCTTATCTAATTAAACTAATAGTCAGTGACCTTGACTGTTAAGTTAAGCTTTCAGGAACAAGCCACAGTGGTAACTACCTCCACATCACACTAGAATCCCTCCAGTGTTTCGTTTGTATTGGGTGTTGTGGTACGTAAGCCAGTTTCCTTAGAGACTTAGAGGAAACTTTTCCCCCTCCCTTCCTGCATCCTTTCCATGCTGGAAAAAAATATTATTGCCTTTCTTTTTGAAAGTCCACGTAGAAGAGTTTTTTTTCTTATCTTGCTAAAACTCTCCTGCCTTCCACCCCTGCACTAATTTGAATTTCAATGACTGAATTGTAGCGCAAAGCCTATATTAAGGTGCCAGCATCCATCTCTATCTGCAGTGTGCAATATTGTGTAGGAGTTGGCATTTACAGAAGGTCTCTCAGTGACAAAACTGAATTTCTGCTCTTAGTCACTGCAGCGTGATCGTGATGTGCTCCCGCAGTTCTCCTATTATAGCAGAGAGTCTAATAGGAAAATGTTTTAAGAACTAAAATACTTCATTGTTAAAAACCCCAGGAAACAAATATTACTATTTTTTTTCCTTTTGGAGGAAAAACTACAGTAGAGTTGGCATCTCACTTAACTACTTGCTTTCTCTTAGCAATGACTATCAACTCTGGAGAAGTAAAAGAGCAGAGCAAACCCTTTTGGTCAGCTACAGAACAGTATAAAAGGGAGGATTTTGATACCAGTGCGCTACTGAGTTCTGGCAAAACAAAAGAAGCCACCTTGAATATCATCAACAACTCTGGTTCCTTTTTGAAGGAAAGGCATAGTTTTGTGTGCGAGACTTCAATAGATTACACAGAGTATTGCTGCTTGAAGGATGTGGGAGATGTATCTGTGTAGAGGGTCACACTATCCCTTAACTGTTAAAGAAGCCACCTTTATTGTCTGTCCTACTTGCAGAGGTGGACAGAGCAGCTGGCAGAGAGTGCAGCTGAACAGGAAGGAACCTGAGTCTGCACTCAGCTGGTGGCTTGCTGGAACTGCTCCTCTCAAGCTAAGCTGCGCTGCACAATTAGGATGTTTTCAAAGCTGGTCCCCGCTGTTTTGTCAAATTCCTTAGTGCTTTGGTAAATACATTAGCTCGAAAGATGCTCTTTCGCCCTTGTTCTCCTGCCAGGTCTTGGTATTTGATATTGACAACTCTAACATGTGAAGAAAGTTTAATGGTGTAGCTACAAAGATCTTACTGCCACAATTTTTGCTTTTGTTTGTTTATTTTTTTGTAGGTGGGGCATGTCAGAAGCATGTCCTTCACCTCCTGCCGGGAATGAGCAGTGATAGTGACATTGAATGTGACACAGAAAACGAAGAGCAGGAGGATGCCACCTCTACGTCAGAGGGGTTTAACCATGCCTTTTCTGTGCAGTCCTCCAGTGAAGGTAGAACTGGTCGTGTTCGCGTCTTGTGAGTCTGCCTCAGCGCTGCTGCTGAAGCAGGGGTGGTGATGGTGCCATAAAGGTATTAAAGCACAAGTAAGAGCCAATAAGATTTGGAACTCCTCTCCTGGGATCCTAATTAAAAGCAGATCAAAACAGAAGAGGGGAACTCTCTCTAGCCTTGAGAAGTCAGTTTAGGTGAATCTCCCAGGGGAAGTGTTGGAAAACCCATAGCTCCAGTTCTTCTGAATTGGAACTCCCTGTGCACCAGCACTGGCACTGTAAGTAGGCTACCTTCAGGGAGGTAACCACGGCCTGAGACGTGGATTTGCATCTTAATTGGCAGGAGTGTGCTTTGAGCACTTCAGTGTAATTTTAAAAACTCATTTCATATCTTTCTGAAAAGCTTTAACCTTCTGATCAAATGAAAACCTGTAAGGTGACATCTGATGCTGGTTGGAGCTGATTTGGGCCTGAATAAGCACCTCACTGTGCATTAGCAGGATGGCCTAACGACTCAGCCCAGTAATTAGTTTACAGCTTTGCTGTGTGTCTGCAGCAGGCATTAAATCTTTACAACTCATCGGAATAATAAAAACCTCACTCGTATCTGTGCTTGACTAAAGTTATCTTTAATTTAAAACCCTATGGCAGTCCTAGCAGTGTCGATCACGTCGTGTACCAGTATGTTAGGGATGAAGTACAACGCAGCAGCACTTGCAAGTGATGGAACATTAACTCTCTCTGTTCTGATTGCTTGCCTAGTGAAGTTTTTTGTTTGTTTGTTTTCAGCCTCAGAGCGGTGCTCAGTGTTCCCAGAGGGTGATCAAGTTGGTCCTGATGATCTCAGCTTTGTTAATGGAGAAGACAACACCAGGTAATTCTAACTGTTTGCCTTAGCTAGCTCCTGAGGTGACCGGATCCCTGGGGATGCACCTTTCCTGTACTGCCCCTCGAGCTGCAGAGATTAGAGGAAATGTTCATCTTCCTTCAGGTAGACAGAAGGGTGTTTGTGCAGCCTAATGCACCACAGCCTGCCCCCAGGAGAGGTAGAGCAGACAGGTGAGCTCCTGGCCTGTGTGGCTAATTTGCCTCCTCAGGGCTGTACAGTGATCTGCATTTTTAGGGCAGCCTTTAAAAATTACACTGCTAAGGAAGGACTGCCTGAGTTTTTGCATGCTTACATAATCACCAATAAATGGGGTTTCAGTACCCAGCACAGAACTTTGAATTACCAGGTTGTATTTGCTGAAGCCTTGAAACTGTCCCAGAACGAGGGTTTTCAATGAAAGCTGACTTTCTTTGAACCAGATAGAGAACTGGCTCGGGGCCTGAAGACTCGCTGGCTCGTGTTCCTGGGAAGAGGTGCATTTATTCACTGGAGCTTAGTCCGAGGCTGTTGATGGTTGTGTGTGCACTCCATTCTGTCAATACCATTGTGTGGTTCTTCTGCAGTCATCTTAAACCTGTTACTGGGGCAAAATGACCTTTAAAGGCTTATTATAAAGGTTGCGTTCCTGCTGGCTCTGCCAGCTTCAGATGCTCTGAAAAAATGTCCAAAATGTGCTGGAGCCCTGTTTCAGGCTGTCCTCTTGTGTCATTGGAGTAACAGCCAATGCACGAATGTCCTCGTTTTAAACGGTCTGAACTGACTGAGACTACTGACTGCCACTGCTGCAGTGGCTCGAGAGTTGGGGTAAAGTAGCTGGCACAGAAGTTGTTTTCCGCAGACTGTGCTGTGGACCAACCGAACACATTGCCAAACTTTTTGCCACTGTGCATTGCATTTTGAGCTGCTAAACTACTTGTGAAGCTATGATGAAAGCTGAATAACTGGTTAGTGAAAAAGCATGAATTTATGTGATAGTTGTCCTTGTCTCAGCTGACTACTGGCATTCATTTTCATGTGAGTGTTCCGCAGTGTAAGTGCTGTACAACTCATAGTTTAAAACTGTTTGCACTTTGTTAATAAAATGAATGTTGAAATCTGGTGTGAAGTTTTAGATGTTCATGTGTAAATATGTAAAAGGGTACAGGCTGTCTGTTAAGATAAGCAGAACACTGTCACCAAGCTTGACTTGCTCTTTAGTACTGAGTTGGTATCATGCCTGCCTGAATATAGGAGAACTTTCTTCTGCTGTACAGCTGTCACTTCTTTTAAGCCCCTTTCACCAAATAAATCAGGAAATCCACAGGGAATTTTAAAGCTGTGTTGAGGGAAACCAGACCAACTATTTAAATCTTATACATTCAGATAGGAATCGAGGAGGATCTATGGCTTTTACCTGACTTGCTCTTTATGCAGGAAGTATTTCTCTGTTTCTAACTTGTACTTTATGCAGTATTTGTTTCTCAGCTGAAGGAAGGTGAGGGCAGCTTCTATGCACGCGTTGTTCCAGCTGATGAGTGCTGAAGGTGGCCTTATGACAAGCTGCACGTTACGATAGCGAAGCGTGAGTGTTTACTGTTGTACAGGGTGGCATGTTGATTAGTATACGCAGCCCAATTAGCAGTAATCACAGAGCCCTGCCTCTTCAACACTCACAGCTGCTTTACTCTTACAAAGAGGGCCAAGCTGAAGTAAATTATTTTAATTAGCCACATGATCTGCTCTGGAGTTGGTGTCCAACGTTTGCAGTAAAAAACAGTGCCCTCATGCTTTGCTGCCCTCACAAAGAACTTAGAGTTGATTTTAAACATGAGGTAGGGAAACAGGCTGGGATGCCTGATTTAAGTAACTTAATGTGAGCTGGACCTGAAAGTGACTGTGCCCTGACAGCACGTTGCCTTTGTGGCTGTAAAATAGATCAGCCAGGGGCTGTAGTGCACCTTGGTGCTTCCCTGCATAGGTACCCTAGAGCCTAGCAGTGAATGGCATTTTCTCTTAGGTATTGCACAAAAGAAGTCATCTTTTACCACACTGAAGACACTTAACTGTTAGTTGCTGTCCTCATTAGCTTTTAATGAAACAGACTAGCTGAATTGTGGTTTAAATTACTGTTTTATTTAAGATATTGGTAAAACTTCAACAGTTTTTCTGTATAAACAGCATAAATAAAATATGGATGACTAATACATGGTTATAACTATAAACTCATATGTGAACTGTAGAACAAGATTGCAAATGGAAAGTCCCAACACTGTTAAATGATTAGCTTTAATTTATTCACTTTATAAAGAACATGTTAGTTTCATGAACAAGGTAACACAGATAGCTCAACAGGAGCACCCAGTGCAGCAACTGACAACACACCTGGCTATCTACACAAATACGCGCTTGGGCGTAGAAGTACTCAGGGTGATCTCAGCCAACTTCCCCTGTTCTTGGTTCAAGATGTCTTCCAGAGTGAAGGAGAGGGAGAAGAAAAAAAAAACAACACTAACAAGATGCAATTGCGACATACAATAGTTGTACTAGACCCTAAGAGGTGGGATTTAGTTTTTCTTTAGTTTTAGTGCTGGCAAGTATAGTGCGATCGCCTGCTTATCAGGGACTGGAAAAAAGTATGAACATTTAAGTCAGAGGTTGTGTTAGTGCTTCATTCTTACTTATTGCACGATACAAGGGTAGAAAGTTTTGTTCCTGTTGTAAAGAGGGTATGAATTAAAGAAAGATTGCCCTAGATTACAGGCGTGAACAAAGCTGCGGTATCCCCTTCGATGGCTTTGTTTATGTGACTAGTGCTGAGTGAATAAATTGTGCTAAAACAGCCCCTAATTTAGACCAATCTTTCTCTTTTTTTTTTTTTCCTGCAGAACATTGCCAGGGTAGGGAGGATTTAGTGAGGAGATAGTGGACCTGAACTACAGCAGTCATGTCTATAAACACGGAACTCGTTATGCCTCATCTTATCTGCCCATAGGACATGCATTTCTCACTGACACACAGTGTTCCAAAAACAGAGTGGAGTTTCTATGACAATGTACCACCATAAATGTGGTGTAAGTTAGGCTGCTTTGATATTGTCCTTCAGTGTTACAATGCAATCTAAATCAAATACTGAATGGTTTTAACTTGCAAGGACAATCGATGGCACTTCTAGGTAAAAGAAAAAAGTTATATACATGCGTTTCCACCCACCTTTAGTGCAAATCGAAATGGGTTAACAGCTCCCTGGTCTGGTGCTATACTGCTCTCTGCAACGCAGACATTCCTCAGAGTTGCACATTTAAAAAGTGTGCACAGGAAACTATCAGAGTGGGGATTGAGCGAATCCCTCTAGTACTCACAGTGAATAGCTTACGAGTGAGTTTTGAGGAGCTTCAGACAAAGCCTGAAGCCCATTTCTCAAAACCAACATAATTAAAAAAAAAAATGTTTTCACTACCTACCTCCTAGTTCTGCAAACACGCTTAACACGTAAACTGAAACTGATGCGGGTTGTGTTAACGCGAAAAGGGATACTTCAGCTCTTTATTGGAAAGATTCGTTATACAAATTTCACCACCACTAAGATGCACAATAAAAATACAAAACACAGGTCACAGACAATCTCAGTATCAACAGTTAATAAATACAATTAGATACTTTTATATTAGCCTAATATTTTTACATTGTCACCAGCTAGACACTCAAAGTACGAGATACAGAACACTTAGATACCGTTAGAGGGGGATTATTGCTTACGTTAGCAAGCAGCAAGTAAGGGCACAGGATTTTGAACTGAAGAGAACTACTTCCTATCACCAGTGGCATTAAGAGAAAACACTGCATTTCACAAAGCACTGCTTTTTTGTCTAGTGTGTAGAATCAAGAGCAGCATATATCAGACCAATAACCACTACTTTAATATTATAGAACTTTAAAGGACTTACCTTACAAATGGTTCCTATCTACTCTATAAATATGCATTTAGTGAAGAAATGAACACTTGCTATCTATACAATGTTTTTTACCTGACCACACTGGAACTACGATGGTAGATTTTTCTCCTAGCAAGATAAATGGTATGAGTAGCAGAATTATCATGTATGAATCCACACCTAAAAAGCTATATCCTTCCCAAAACAGCACACATGCAGTCCAATGCTCTTCAACTGCTCCTGCAGACTGGGAAGAAGTTTATCATTCGTAACACTTTGTCATTCTAATTACTCATACAAACAATTGCACTTACACCACCTTTCTCTCAGAAGCACGCTATAAGATGGACTCACTGCATTGTTATTACTGCGAATAATTTAAAACAAAGGCACCACAGAGATGCCCCAGAGTTGCATATTTTACTGTTTCTCAAATTTCCTTAGTAAGTCTAACTTGGAACATATGCTGCAGCTAAAGAGAATGTTGACAACAGCTAAGGCTTAATAAGATGACAGATAAGAGCCAATGATCCCATAAGATAAAAAGAAAAAAGAAAATAATCTCTGAATAAGATCAAAGGAATCTAAAGCCACACTCCAACTCCTGGTTACTCACAAAGCCTTTTGCTATTCATCAAATTGCTTTTAAAATAGTGCATCAAAGATCGGAGAAGCGGAAATTGGCAGAATTCAAACCTCGCCATCTCATCGTGTTGAATAATCTCCTGACTACTTATAATACTAAAATACTTTGCAAATTCTAGCTAAATACTAACACTGTTATTAAACTGTTACTGCTAAAATGATATGATGTACAATAAATGCTTATGAAGACTTACTTTATTCATACTACTCCAAATGTCTTCATGTAACAAATGAAAGAAACAGGATGTGCATTGAGTGGAGCTGATGGGAACAGTCTGCTTACTTAGGTCCTAATTTAATGCTCCCTTAAGGGTTAACAGCGCCTCAGGGCTAGGGCAGAGCAGGTGGGTACCCTCTGTCTGAGTTCCACAAGCAGTGCTCTGCTTATTAACACAAGGGCAACTGACACTCCTCACTCTTCCTTCTGAATTTGGGTTTAACCAAAGCAGAGCCCTGGATTGTCAGTGGATTTCACCCTCTGCACTAAACCCCAAGCACATCCCCTGCTCATCTGCATTCACTCCGGATTGCGCCGGCAGCCCGGCACCCCTTCTGACGCATTCTGGAAATCACCAAATTGCAGCAATGATGGTCCTTGTAGACACAGCATCTTACCATCCTTCATGCTGCAACTTTTTATTCACTTAAGTCTTTGCCATCCAGAAATCATTACTGAAACCAAACATCTCATCAAATTGCTCATTATTCCTAGCAAGCAGTTCTCTGGTTTGACTGGGTGAGTGGCAGTAGCATCGTACTGAACGTCTCCACAGACATGCGTTTGTTTTAAGACCTGAGATGAAGTTACGGTGGAAAGAGGTTGGCTCAAAGCATTAAGCACAATTATATTTGATTAAAACTAATTGAGAACAGTTTCCTAAACTGACAAACAAGAAAAATGCCACTAAAAGCACCAGAAAGATACGAAATTCCCTATGCTGAACCTCTAGCCATAGGAAATATATTTTTTTAAAAACTACAAAAAATTTTCTTCATATTCCACATTTTATGTTACAGGAAAAAAAAAAAGGTAAATTATGAGTCTGTACCTCAATCAGAGTCTGAGAACAGAGCGGCAGGAGCTTAGTTTGTCCATTCCTAAGTTACCTGGTAAAACCTTGTATGGCTTTTAGTCTTTTACCTGCAAAAGTGGATGTAATTTTCTGATTCATCTTAATGCTAGCCTGAAATAAACAGAAAGCAGAACACAAAATAACCCACACAACCTGGACTTCTATGGAAACTTCCCCCCCACTCTAAAAAATTTGGCAGTTCTCAACCAGAACCCTTCCTGACGTATTGCTCCAGACACCTCCCGGGCGGGTTCGGGTTCACCTTCCTGCAGGCTCAAGGACTGTTCCCTCCCAGTGTCTGTTCAGTGCCCCAGCGGCTCGGCTCTCGCTAGTGAATGTGGCTGGATACTCGTGGGTGGGGGTGGCTGTGGCATTGCTCAGGGTGGCACCACCAGCAAACTTTGTTGAGATTGAAACAACTACATTTGTTAATTCCTAGGTCTATTTACACGTGGGTTGAGCTTTGCAGG